TCCTTTGTCAGAATAGGTCATCATTGCAGTGGACCATGGTCACCTTCCCTTTACCTGGCTTATGAGAGCTCTGGTTATCTGTTGACAAGATTTGGATTAAAGAGAATGTCTTAGATCTACTGCTCCATGATTCTGTGCTGTTTGAAATGTGATATTTTTTTCAGAACAGCCATTTTTCTGACTTCATGGACAGACAAACTGGGTATGTCACTAGGAACTTGCTGGCAACCCCGATCATGGTGGGCAAGGAGGTCCTGCTGTGGTCATGGCACTAAACAAAGTCAACTCATCTGAGTTTTCCAGACAAGATGAGGAGGTAATGCTAACCCCAGGTGTCCAATCAGAGGCATGGGAAATGTTTTTGTTGTATAACCAAAAGAAGGTGTCACAACCATAATTTGTTCTTCTCTGCCATCCGTAGGTCTTTTCCAAATGCCTCAGCTTCGTTTCTGTCATCCTAAAGTTTCAGCATACCAGCTACCTGTACAGTGTTGAATCCCGGAGAAGCCAGGTAAAGGGGAGGTGACTTTAGTCACTCCGTGCTGACCTGTTATGACAAAGGGTCCTGAGGCAACAAGCCAGACCTCTCCTACCCTCCTGAGGATTTAAGTCGTGGAGCAGATCCCCTTACCTTAATCCTCAGGGTCCTCTCATGGTCTCCTCTCCTTTCTTCCAGCTCTCCATCTGTATGCACAACTGGCTGGGCTTTTTTCAGTCCAAGTCCTGGGATCTTTGGTTTCTTCATCTATGGGATTGATGATAATTATAGTTCACGTGATTGGCGTGACCATTAAGTAGTCATTAGTTCTCACATAAAGCTTTGGAAGTTCCTCTGTTACAGTAAAAGCTATTAATTCAAATTGAAAAATCACTTCTTTGAGCTTCACTCTTTTTATGAGGCAGAAGATGAGAGATGCTAACAGCCAGAAACCACAACTTCCTCATTCATGCAATGCAGGAGTAGGTGTTGGGATGGAGGTTTCTAAGGTCCCTTCCCATTCTAACTATCCAGGTCAGTTATCTGTAGCTAGCGATGGATGCAGGAAGGAGTATGTGGTTTTCTACCCATGAGGGACAAAAGGAGCCAATGGATCCTCTATAGCCAATGGGAGAGCACTTGCCCCTTGAAGCCAAAATAGTTGGACAATCATGGCTTCCACCCATGGAACCCATATCCTTGCAAAGGTCTCCATATCATCCCACTTAGAGAGTCCAAGTATTTGCTGGACATTTACATATTCAAAACTAGCATCTCAGTGTCTACTGATATGCATTCATTTCATTATGCACCCCATGCTTTCTTTGGGCTAATGTTCTATAGTGTATTTTGTTCTAATTGTTTTCTTCTTAAACCTACTTTCAGATCCTTATGTGGTCAGCCAATAAAGTATTTGAAGAGCTCACAGACGTTGAGCGACAGTTTCACAAAGCACTGTACACAGTTAGAACATACCTGAACTGCGAACGATACTCCATTGGACTGCTGGACATGACCAAGGAGAAGGTCCTCACTGTTCAATACATCTTGTCTCCCTTAAATTCACCTAAAAGTGCATATGAAATGAAACATGATCCATTGAAAAATGAATGCACTATATAAATAATCAATTATGGCACAAGAATCAGTGCCAAGTAAGGCGTGGTACAAAGGCAAAAGTGTGCGTCGTGGGGTGGAAAATGATACAGGCTTGAATTTTGGCTTTTCCATTCCCTAGTTGTATGTATCTTCAGCAAGTCTGTTCTGTTTTTATTAGTTAATTTTTAGATCAGTTTTAGGTTTTTGAAAAATTGAGCCGAATGTAGAGTTCCCATAAACATCCTCATTCCTCCCACGCCTGCCACCAGGTTCCCCTGTTTGTTAACATCTTGCATTGGTGGGGTACATTTGTTACAGTTGATGAACCAGTATTGATGCGTTATTAACTAAAGTTCATTCTTGACATTAAGGTTCACTCTGTGTTGTGTAGTTCTGTGGGCTTTGACAAATGCACGATGTCATGTATCTGTTTTTACAATATCATATAGAATAGTTTCAGTGCCCTAAAAATCCTGATCTCTTCCTATTCAGCCTATTCTCACCACCTCCAAACCCTTGGCAACCATTGATTTTTTTAAATGCCTCTATAGTTTTGCCTTTTCTAGAATATTTTATAGTATATATCATACAGTATGAGGTTTTGCAGACCAGTTTCTTTCATTTAGCGATGTGCATTTAAGCTTCCTCTATGTCTTTTCATCACTTGGTAGCTCGTTTAAAAGGTTTTATTTCTTAAAAAAAATTTAAAATAATTGATCAATAATAATTACATATATTTATAAGGTACAGTATGATATGTTGGTAAATGTACATATTGAAATGATTATATCAAGTTAATTAACATATCTGTCACCTCATATACTTTTTCTGGCAAAAACATTTAGCCATTTTGAAATACAGTACATTATTATTAACTATGGTTATCCTTTTATGCAATAATTCTTGAAAACTCATCCCTCCTGTCTAACTGGAACTTTGTAACATTTGGACAACTTCTCTCTATTCTCCCTGCCTACCACTCCCCCAGCCTCTGGTAACCACCATTTACTCTGTACTTCTGTAAGTTTGATGTTTTTAGATTTCACATGTGAGATATCACTATTTGTCTTTCTGTGCCTGGCTCTTCATTCAGCATGATGTTCTCCCATTCATTCATGTTGTCATAAAGGATAAGATTTGCTTCTTTCTAAAGGGTGAATATATTCTATTATTCATGTATCCATATTTTCTTTATCCATTCATCCCATTTAATAGACATGTAGATTGATCCCATGTATCAGCTTATCTTATTTTTTTAATTACTGAATAATATCCCTTGGTATAGCAGTTTCTCACTTTACCTATTGAAGGGCACCTTGGTTACTTCTAATTGGAGCAATTAATAAAGCTGCCAAAAACACTGCATTTAGTCTTTTGTATATACATAAGTCTTTAACTCATTTGGCTAAATACCAAAGAGAGCAATTGTTGGGCCATATAGTGAGACTGTGTTTATCTTTGTAAAACACTGTCAGACCGTCTTCCCAAGTGACTGGATCATTTGAATATCCATAGCCTCACCAGAAGTTGGTGGTGTCAGTATTTTAAGTTTTAGCCACTCTAACAGATGTGGTGTCATCTTTGGTGTTTTAATTTGCAAACCCCTGATTACATACGATGTTGAGCATGTTTTCATAAGCTTATTTGCTACTGTATGTCTTCTTTGGTGAAATATCTGTTTAGCTCTTTTGCCCATTTTTACATTGGGTTGCTTGACTTCTAATTGTTTGGTTTTAAGAGCTCTTTGCAGCTACGCATGGTGGAATACACATGCAATCCTTGCATTCAGGAGGCTGAGGTGGGAGAATCACTTGAGCTCAGAGAGTTCAAGACCATCCTGGGCAACATAGCAAGACCTTGCATATTCTGGATAAAAATCCTTTATTGAATATGCGTTTTGCAAATATTTTCTCTCAGTCTGTGGCTTACCTTTACATTCTCTTACCACCAACTTTTATAGAGCAGAAGTTTTAATTTTGTTCATTATTTTAAAAATTTCATGGATTGTGCTTTTGGTGTTGTATCTAGTCTCACCAAGTCTAGACTCATAGATTTTCTCTGATGTCATCTTCTAGAATCTATAACTTTACATCTTACATTTAAGCCTATGACTCATTCTGAGTTAATTTTTATGAAACGTACAAGGTCTGTGTGTAGATTTGTTTTTTTCCTATGGATGCCCAATTGTTCCAACCTAATTTGTTGAAAGACTGGTCTTTCTCTATGGCCTTCATTCCTTTAGCAAAGGTTCATTGATTATATCTATATAGGTCTATTTCTGAGCTCTCTATTTCTTCTACTGCTCTATCTGTCTATCATTTATTAACACCACACTGTCCTGATCATTGTAGCTTCATAGTATGACTTGAAGTCTGGTGATGTCAGTTCTCTGACTTTCTTCTTTCCAGCCGATCTTTCAGCATTCCCTATCTGAAAAATGAGAACATCTCTTATCAGTTGTGAAGATTTGAGAATACCCATAAAAAGTATCGAGTACACAGTAGGTTCATAGTAAATGATACTATCATGACCAATTTGAGAATTTTTTCTGAATTCATTTTAAAGTAGAAATAATGAAATATTTCATTTGATTCATAATATAATGCTCATTTCTCATCTTGGTTACCTCTGTTGGAGGTCTGGAGGTCAATATAATAGACACTGTATCATGTATATTTCTTGCTACCCATGTGATTGGTAGTTGCTTTTCAGAGTCATAGGTCTTAATGGACAAATATAGAATCAGACATCAAGAGAACTGGGTTCTGATCCTGGTTTTTTACTTTCTAGCTGAATACATTGTTTAGGATGCTTTCAACTTCAACAAACATCAGATCCATGTAAAGCATCTTTATCAAAATGATGTTTAGAAATCCCCAAATAGGGCAGTTCTAGGGCAGGCCAATTCAGAGCTCAGTATAGTCACTAAAGTCCTAGGTGCTTTCCATTTTTCCTGGCAAGGTCTCTGCTATCTGTAGCACATTGTGAGGTCTTTTTTGATGGGGGCAAGATGGCTGTTGCAACTGAAGGCATGACACATAGACATGACAAAACAGAGACATTTCCTCAAAATGTCACTTTCATCTGAGGAATACCTTTCTCCAACAGCCCCTCAATAGAGTTGTCCCCTTCTTCACTGGCCAGAACTGGACCACATACGTGCCTTCAAATTTATCCTGGCACTTCATATAGGCCAGTTATTGGCTGGGCATGGTCCATCTTCCCTGAAGAAATTACCACTTAATAGCCAAATTAAAGCAGGTTCTGGTAGTCAGAAGAGGGAAGAATGGATGTTAGGTAAGGCAACTGACATTGTTGGTTGCTCTGAGTGCTCTTGACAAAACCTCTTAGCCTACCTGGATTTAGTTTTGTTGTTTGTAAAAGAGCTACCATACCCTGAGTACTTTGAACTATGTGTCAGAGTAGGTTTTTGATAGGTATTATTCATTTACTCCTCACAACAACCCTACATTATAAATTCTACTATTATCCCTATTTTACAGATGAATGAAGGTCAAATGACTTGTCCCCAGTCAATTTCATAAGCAATATTGCTGGGAGTTACAGATCTTATCAGGTCTAAAATTTCAGAGCTATTGAGATTAACATAAAATATACAAACACATACAATTCAAATAAGGTATGGTTAAGTCAAGAACAGTTTGTTTAATAATGTTTAAATATAATTGTCTCCAGGAATTCTACGATGAATGGCCAGTCAAGCTTGGAGAAGTGGAGCCTTACAAAGGTCCAAAGACACCAGATGGCAGGGTAAAGGCAAACATCATTCTTGCTCTCTGTTGCACGTATTAGGGGTTACACATAAGAAGCTGCACACAGAAGAAAGAGCACTGGCCTGGAAATCTCTTGGGTTTTGTCTTATACTTTCAGTGAGATCCTGATGTAGTAGAAAGAGCATTGGACAAGGAGTTTGAGGCTCAAGCCCCAGCTCTGTCCCAATCAGCTGGGTGGTCCATGCCCCCACTTCCTCTTCCATGAGGTCAGGGCTTGGTAGATCAGTGGTTCTCAACAGTAACAACATACAAACTGTTTAAAGAAGCACCTGGGCCCATCTGTAATTATGATGGATTGAGAGCTCCAAGGCAGAGCTGGGCTACATTTACTTTCATCCTCAATTGCAAACTTCACAGAGGCAGGATTCTTGCTTGTTTATCCACCATTGTCTTCCTGGCACACAAGAAAGGGGTTAATGGGAGGGAATGTGTCCAGGTCTCAGGTTCTTCATCTGCCCCAATGTGATAGAGAGACGAGTACTCAAGTCTCTTCCAGCTTTGACCATGGACCCACTGATCCCCATCCCCTGGAAACAGCACTGGCAGGGCTGTGTGCCTCCTGCATGATGGACAATTGATTGCACTGAGAAATCATTAGACCTTTTTCTAGTGAAATTCTTCACATCGTGTGTGAAAAGGGATCAGTTAAAAATAAAAACAGATCAGCTGGTGATTAAGTAGTCAAATATACCCACCCCCCACACACATACATATCCCAAAGCTATTTGGGTGAATGCAAATTCTTAAAATGAAATTTAGTCTATGTAACCTTAGTACTTATAAACAGTCAATACTATTTCTTATTTTATTATAAGCTTGCAATTAGGATGAGTCCTTTGGTAATTTATGTTATGCAGGAAAATGCGGCTAGGAAACCAGGTACTGTTTGCACAAGTTTTAAATACAAGTTCTTCAGTAAAAAGTGTTGTCTTTGGGAAACATATTATGTGCATAATCTCTGCCTTCTCTCCTAGGAAATCATTTTTTATAAAGTCATTGATTACATTTTACATGGAAAAGAAGAGATCAAAGTGATTCCGTGAGTGTTGTCACAAAGTAGCTGAAAGAGTTGCCATTTTATTTTTGCATATGTTGCATTTCTCTATATAGCAATATTTTCTTTCTTCTATTCTTCTTAAGGACACCTCCTGCAGACCACTGGACACTCATTAGCGGGTTGCCAACATACGTTGCTGAAAATGGATTTGTAAGTTACTGGACAAACTCTAATTCTAAATTCCATCATGTGAAACTCATATTAGCTAAGAATAGATATAATTGTCAAAGCAAGAATGAACCCATAAGGGTGAGGTAATCACTTCCTTTGGCATAGGATAAAGGGAGAATAGTCGTGGCAATTGAATGTAGGCTAACTTTGAAACTATATGAAAACATTTAGTTAACATGAGAAAGATTCATCCTTCCTTCCTTATTCTACAGCCAGACAAATTTTAGACATTCTTTCAAAGTTAGAGCTATGATTCGTGGTAGGTTTACTTCTATCTCAAATGCCTTGGTCAATGTTTTGAAGAGAGAGAAAGAGAAGACTTCTGAATAGTGAAAGAAAAAGTTTGGTCTCTAAGGTCTTGATCCAACTGTTAATATTCTTTTGAGGTCTTAAAGTATGTTCTTAAACACATATTGCTGATGAAAAGTTCAGAAAAGAGGAAAAAGCTGGGTTTGCCTCTTCAAACCACACTTGAAGGATGTTCAGCCCATCAAATAATGTAATACATCCAAATCAGATTATGAAATTAATGGATAGCACAAAAGATTCTTTAAATTCTCAGGTTATGAATTCTCATGAAAACTTTGATTTTCCTCTCTTTGTAAGAGAAGTACAAAACTGGTTGTAGTTCAACTACCTTTTGAAAGTCCTTAACTGTGGTGCCATGGGGTTTGACAGGGTTTGGTGTGGTGGGTGGGGAACCCCTTCAAACCTACTCCCAAGATTCTTAGATTTTTCAGGAATTTTTGAGCAAGTTGTTAAACTGATAGCAGCTTGAAACCCTCATGGTGGGAGTACTGACACCATGCAAAGGGTAATTGATACCAAGCAAGGCGTTCCCAGCCCGTGGCCAGGAGAGCTGGTTTCCCAGTCTGTCTCTGGAGAGCACCATTCTAGTTTTATCCCATGAATTTGAACAATCACTTAATCTTTTGGAATTTTATTTCCTCATCCTTTAAAAGGAAAAGCTTAAATTTAATCATTAATATCCTTTCAGCCTTATAATGCTGTGATTTTAAGTATCTAATGTAACTTTGGTGGGAAGAAAGATATAGTCTTTATTATGACCGATTTGTGAATATGACCTGAAATACAGATAATTCACAATGACCTTCTTGTTCTTTTGGATGTGAGCAATATTTTCTAAATTCTAGTAGTTAAAGTGATATTGTACAGTGAATCCTTACTTTGGTACAACCAAAAGGCTGTCTGATTTTCTTCCTTCTGTCCCTTAGTCACATTCTTCTTACCTGAATCCCTCTTTAGGAATTAAAAAAGGCAACTCCAGAGCCAATCATGGCTCACCTGCCCCAATAGAATGGACTTTCTGTTCACTTTTCTCCTCTTCCTGGCCTGAACAGTGAGTTGTTTTGAATTTGAAGGGGATTCCTCATAGGCCTGGAGAGTGGGGAGTAGCAGAGATGGTACTGAGTATCACCCAGTGACGCAGCAGAACAGAAGCTAATGTCAATGAGCTGGTTAGGTCCAGTGTGAATAATTTGCCTGCAAGCAATCAAGAGCTATATGAGACCCCTCATTCTTAATGTGCTCTTTCTGTCTCCCTTTGTGGGTGTAATAACTCCACCACAGCACATTTCAGGAAGACTTGTCTCCTCTCCCCTCACAGATATGTAACATGCTGAATGCCCCTGCGGATCAATACTTCACCTTTCAGGTAACCATGCCCACAGCCAGGCCGGGGTGGGGATTAGATGCTTTCCCCTTCCCTTCATCCCGGGTCTGCTTTATGCTCGGGTGTGGCCAACAGGCAAACACAGGGCCCTCACCCTGTCTGCACCGGTGGCCACCTCCCAGCAAATTCTTCAGCAAAAGAAGGGACTAGAGAGGAGAAGAGAGGGGACAGGGGGCCCTGCCATTCCTCCATGCTCTCCTACTTATGGTCTTCTAGTGGCAAGACAGAGCCTAACTCATTACTGGTGTTCAGTAAACATTCTTTGTGTGAATGATTGATTGACTATAGACTGTAACCTGAATCCAGCCCTGATGGTGGCTTTCTCAGTAGCCCTTCCTGCCCTTATTGCAACTGTGATCAACAAAAGAAAAAATTCTTATTGGGTACCTAGATTTTACCCATCTTTCCCCAACACACAGAGACCTGTTTCCTGGAGAATACACTTTTACTCACCACAAAGGTGCCCTTGAACAAGCTCCCTCTGTGTTTGCGGCCTGACTGACCCACTCCTTCCCACCATCACAGCTGTGTCCCCTGAAATTCATATGTTGAAAACTTGATCCCTAAATAAATTTGTTGATGGCATTTGTTGGTGGGGCTTTTGGGAAGTAGTTTGGGTTGCATGAGGTCATGTGGGTGGGGTCCCCATGAGAGTATTAGTGGCTTCATCAGAAAAAGAGAAACTCCGCTGACACTCTTGCCATCTTGCCATGTGATGCTCTTTGCCGTGTTAAGATGCAGCAAGGAGGCCCTCTCAGATGGTGGAGCCGTGCTATTGGACTTCTCAGCCTCCAGAATTATGAGAAATTTGAATTTCCTTTCTCTATAAAGTATACAATCTGTGATATGCTATTATAGCATCAAAAAGTCAACAAAAGCAATGACTTTCTGCTTGGACTTAACCATAGGACTTGGGGGCTCATTCACCCCCTTTTCATCTAGTACACCAAAAGGGCCAGCATGACCTTTCTGCTCCAGTGTCCTCTGTCTTTGCCTACCATAGAAGATAAGCTGGCACTTGCTCCACACTCTCTTCTTTCTGCCTGCTGGCACTTATTGCTGTCTGTTCTACATTCAACAGACATTTAATTAAAGCCCTAATCCAGGTTAGGAGTAGAGACTACCCTCCCTCCCCAGTGGGCACTGCTGCTGTCTATCTTTCTGTCTGTGATACAGACTCACAGACACTGCACACACATCTATGCCTGGATGGAAAAGTCGGCTTCCTTGTGGTGTGACTGGTGTAGCCCCTGCCGCAAACCAAACCAGGCCTTGGGAAAATCTGTGTACCCCTGCTTGGTTACATAGAGGGTTTCCCCTGGATCTGTGTGCCCATCACTTTGCTTACTGATGTGAAAATACCATATGGTCCTATTGGCTCTCACTCCTTCCTCCCTATAACAGCAGCCTGCTTGTGACCATACTGTGCCCAGCCTTGACCCCTATATTAATGGCAATAGGGTGCCAGGGTAGAATGCACAGACAGGAAAAAAGGATAGTGCTTTTCTAGTGTCTGAACTTTGAGCAGGGAGTGGGGATGCAGTTCTCCCAGAAGAACCAGGTACTTGCTGAAGTGTGAGGGACTGTGCTTTCTCTCAAAACACACTGTGGATACTGTAGGAGCAGTCACACTATGGGACAGCCTCTCTGGTCACCTTGAGAGGAGGCTGGGACCTCCCTGGGGCCTGGGCAGTTCCCCTAGTGCAATAAACCTCCAATCTGTAGGGATTCCCCAGTACTCCAGGAATGTTGGTGTTTTGCTCATGAAGTATGCTTCTCTGAGCTCCAACTGCCAATGGCCACTGTCCAATGGCTACTGTGCTCTGAAATCCACTGAAGCCTGGCTCTCCAGGGTGCTCCCAGCCAGTGACTGAGCATGGCAGGTATACTAACACAGGCCCATCCATCCTGAGAAACAACCAGACTTCTCTAATGGGCAACATTGGCTCTAGGAATGCCCAACAGCCCTGTAGACTATTCTAGAACTGCACTGTACTTAAGTATTTGCACTCAACCTTCTGTCCTTCCTTTTCCCCTTAGCCAGGGTCAGGACTATGTCTCTAACTGACAGCTTTCTAGGCCCCTTAAGGCTCTCTCCCCCACTTTCTCTCACAAGCACCATTCCCTAGAATAGATGCCCTCCCCAAACCACCATCTCCACCCTCCTTTCCCATTGTCTCTACATATTCATGGGCTACCGCATTTCTTACTATTCCCTGTTGCACCTGATATGTTTGATGGAAAAGTCAATGATTCAAAATGAGCTAATGTCAGAGTAAACCTGGAAAGGCAGTGTTTCTCAAACTATGTCCCTCAAAGCACTTTGGACAAGTTTCTTATGGCTGCTGTAACAAATTACCTCCACTGCCTTGAAGCAACACAAATAAATATTATCTTATGGTTCTGGAGGGCAGTATTCTAAAATGAGTCACACTGGGCTAAAATCCAGGTTTTGGCAAGACTATGTCTGTCTCTGAAGGCCCTAGGGGAGAACCAGTCTCCTTGCTTTCTCCAGCTCCTGGAGGCTGAAGGATTCCTTGACCTGAGGGCCCTTCCATCTTCAAAGCCAGCATCTGCATCACTTGCTCTACCATTTTTATCTCCTCTGATTCTGTATCCACCTTCTTCACAATTTCTAAGGTCATGTAATGATATGATATGATATGATATATCTTGGAAAATCCAAGATACTTTCCCTATTAGAAAACTTAATTCCGTCTCTACTTTAATTCTCCTTTGCTATGTAAGATGTCAAATTCACAGTCTCCAGGGATTAAGATGTTGACATCTTTGGGGAGGTTCCACAGTGCTCTTTTCTCTTACATCAATTAAAGTGATCCTAATTCAAAGTGAGGGAAAAGTACATAGAATTTTTCTCAGTTTTTAAGTTTTTTCCTATTAATCTTTCTTAAATCTTAGGTTCCTTCTATCACTTTGCTGTCGAAGATCTAATTAATGTCAAAATGCATGAATATGGACAGATAGCCAACAAATACTTCCCAAAACACCAAGAAGTAGTTAGGAAAGCTTGTTTTGAAAGCTTTAAGACATGCATTTGGGTATTTAAAGTTGTCGTTCTGCACACATGTGGTAGGCTTCCTGTTCCTGGTTTTGTCCCTAGTCCATTTGATGATATAAGAATAGAAATACTTCTTAGTGTTTCCCAGGAGGAAGCCTTGGAGAACATCATGCACTTCAGTATTCTAAAGCTTCGACTGTTAGGATCCATAAATAGAGATTTAGTTTCTCTGTTTTTTGTTCTATAGTCTTCATAAAGGATAGTGATACACAATAAGCAGGTTATTTGCATTACTTCTTTACATAATAAATAATTGTATGCTCAACACTGCTCTAGCACTTATGTGAAATCTAATAGTTTATGCAATTGTCCCTGACTTTTAATAAGTTTTAAAGACCAAAATCAATAAGTTTGAAGCATTTACAAAGTGTCTGGATGCTAAACTCTATAATCTAGGTAAAAATTGCTGGGGTAGAAAAGTAAGAGAAGGCTTCATGGGAGAGGCAAGACTTAACCTGGGTCTCCATGGGGACTAAATAAAACATGGGTGGCTTAAAGAATGAGCAGTGTGGTGTGTTGAGTGCCTGGTTCTCTTTGCCTTAGCTGCATACTATGCAGATACCACATTGTGGTTTTCATATTTGAAAAATCGTCAGAATTCCCCAAGCAGTGTACTTAAGATGCATGCCCAGAGACTGAAACAAGCTAAAATGAATGTGTTGCATGTGGTCCTCGGGTCACGTTTTAAGAAACACTGCTGAACCTTTGTGCCTGTGTCCCTCCACTAGACTGCAAGAATCTTGAGGGTAGGGCCTGTGTTTTAGTCACTTTTGCAACTCAGAAACTAGTCCAGTTCTCGGCACATCATAGGGGCTTGACAGCTGCTTACTAAATTCAATGTACCATAGAACATAAGACTTAATGGATCAGTCAGGAAAATAGAAACACGCTAGGTATTTCAACAGAGAGAATTTAATAGAGGAAATTAGCTAAATAGTCATTGCAAAGTGGAAAAACTGAAAATGGAACAGTGAGGTAACATGATGGTAAGAAACTTTTTCCATCCCAAGGGCTGGGAAACAAAGGGTAAAAGAGTTGTTAAAACATAGCCATTCGGTTCTAGTTCAGAATGCCTGATGGATGGATTGTAGAGTACTTACAATGGCTACATAGTTCAGCCATGCTCTGATGCAAACTGTGAATTGTGCATATAACACACAAAGATTTACTTAAATTAAAAATAAAGTAAGTTGTAGATGGTGGGGTTGTGGCTCTCAAGGATAATACAAGGGAGCCTTGAAGTGATGAAATCACCATCTTGATTCTAATGGTGGTTGAAGATTTCCCATCAGGTAAATTTGTGTAAAACTATAATTTCACATATGTACACACATGTAGGAATAAGTACATGGAAATCTGGTGAAATCCAAATGAGCTCTGTGGATTATGCACGGCCTCGTGGTTTTGACTCTGTGCTATGGTTATCAGACGTTACGCTGATGGAAACGGTGAGGAGTACTTGGAAGTTCTATGTACATCTCTTGCGGCTGTGGATCTGTAACTATTTCAAATTATGAAGCAAAAAATAAAATAACCTAAATTCCTTTCTTTTCTTTTTTGTAGAAAGGACCTGTTGATGAAACTGGTTGGGTCATTAAAAACGTCTTGTCCCTGCCAATTGTCAACAAGAAAGAAGACATTGTGGGAGTGGTGACGTTTTACAACAGGAAGGATGGCAAACCCTTTGATGAGCATGACGAGCACATTACAGAGGTGAGCAGAATAATGAAGTAATGGCGGTAAGTGAAATTCATGAATTAATAGAGAACACATAATTGTTATTCTAGAATGATATTTGAAAGGCAATTAAGATGTAAGTCATTAATAGTTGTAATCAAAATGTTGTTTTGTGTCATTTCTATTTCCTGACTTACACAAATTTCTATTAAAGTATAAAGTTTTGGTTTAACCCCAATTCTTTCCAATCCTGTAAAAACAGGAAGGAATATTTCTATTTTCCTCCTCTCTTCCCTCTTCTTCCTCCTTCTCAGTCTCACCCTTAGTCTTCTATCAGATTTTTATGTCTTGCTTTATTCTAGTGGTGTTTGTAATTCATCTCCTGCAACAGAGTTTTCATGATGCATGGCCAATTTTATTATGTGGGTAGTAAATTCATATTTTTTCTTATGTTAAAATAAATGTGTTGTTGATGGTGGGAGGACAAGCAATTGGTGGGGACTCATGCAGAGTACTACCCCCAAATCAATTTTCATTTAACTTTAGAGAATGTGAGTCACATTTTTTTACATTCTAGACTCTTACACAATTTCTTGGATGGTCTCTTTTAAATACTGACACCTATGAGAAAATGAATAAGCTAGAAAACAGAAAGGACATTGTTCAGGAAATGCTTATGAGCCACATCAAAGCCACTCCCGAGGAAATCAAATCTATTTTGGTAAGTGGGGAGTCCAGTTCTATGGACATTAGGTGGTATTTAACCGTGGCTTCTGCAAGTCTCCAGGAGTCTGACAAATGAGAATAAGTTCAGTCCTGGGATAAGAAAAGGAAGACAGAGAAAGAGGGGTAGGAAGAGGCACTCAGTGTCCAGTGCACACAGATTATGGCTGGAAATACACATACAACTGCCGTAAGTGGCATGCAGTAATAAACATCTGTCCCTCTCTGCGTGTTTGTGGGCTGGTCAGGCTTGACTGAGTATGGCTCCAAGATGTGAGTCTGGTTTGCTCTGTGTCTTTCATCACTCACGCACCAGCAGCTCTCTCATAGATGCTCCTTTCACAGTGATGACAGAGGCACAGAAGAGCAAGCCCATAGACTTCAAGTCTTCGCGAACTTCAGTTCCTAAAATTCTCATTGACCAAAGCAACTCACATGACCAGGACCAACATGGTAGAGAGTTAGGAAGCAGGTGGAATTTTGCTAACAGTGTTCAAATTATCACAATGCAGAGGGAAAAGATCACATACCCACTGCCACTATTCCTTGCATTTCCCTAGCTTTTCAAGTGTGTGTACATGTGTAGTTTGGGCAAAGCATTTGTTTGGTTTTGGTTTGCTAGGGGTGCTGAGAGTTAAAAGATTTGATTTGAGAGTTTGAAATGTTAAATATGAGAAGGTTTGGGGTGGAGGGAACCATGTGAAATTGTTATCAGCTATTAGAAAAGCAAATGTAAGCTACCAACTTTTCATTTTTTTTTTCTTACCTATATACACACAACCCATAGTTTGATTTGGTTTAGTTTTTAAGATGGTTACTGTTACATGTTGGCAACTAGAGAAATCAATTGTATTAGTTTATTTATTTATAATCAGATGCTACAGGTTTTCTTTGTATCCATCATATGTCCTTGTCATGGAATAAGGATGCAGTGTATTTTGAATATGTTTTAACTGATTTTAATAGTACAGGAATCAGATAGAAATCATCTTCATAGGAATTTCACACCTCAATTGCATTTACGTTCTAGAGATTTAAAGAGAAGTTAAATATGGATGCAATTGAAGACTGTCAAGAGAAACAGCTTCTCACAGTGTTGGTAAGTGTTTTTCTTCTATCTTTAAAGCCTTTTAGATAAATGTATTAGGACATGCTTTCTTGTTTTCAAGTAAATGTTAACTTTCCTCTTCCCTGACATTTTTCAAGACTAAAAACAAAGGAGTTTTTTTTTCCAAAGACTGATCTTTTGATTTCCTGCTTTTCTTCACCTTTGTTCCTTAGAGCTCAATTCACAAACATGATTTACAATCACAGATAAACTAGATTACTGCATGAGGCCTCTCAGGCCCAGAACCTAGGGATATCCTGGCCTCGTTTGTTTTAGCAGTTTTGGATTGAACCTTAGCCACCCCAGAAATGTGCCAGAGGTACAGTAGAACATGGGCCCGTCTAGGTTAATGGCATCTGCCATCTCTAGATTCTTTTCTGGAGTTTAGAGAATTTCATTGCTTCCCTGTTGTTGCTGTCAGGCCAGTGCTATTATTTCTGGTTGAAGTTAATGTCTTCATTTCTCACCCTTGGTTTTCATCATGGCACTACTACAGTTAAATCTATTTAATCAGTTCTTAATTTTAGAGGTTTTTTTCTTTTTTTTAATTTTAGAAAGTATACTTAATTGTTGTTATTGTTGGTTTTTGTTGTGGCTTTGTTGTTTGAGATATGATTTTGCTTTGTTTTGAACTTGTGATCCTCCTGCTTAGACCTTCCAAATGCTGGGATTACAGGCATGTGCTTAATTCTTTTTTTTTTAAGCTTCCAACTCTATGTTGGAACATTTCATCATTTAATCTATTTTGATTATCCTTTCCTCTATTTAAAAAGCTTATTAGTCATAATTCTCTTAAAGATCTCACCTTGATTCCTAAATCACCTCTGGGTCTGCTTCTACTGTCTATTTTTCAAACTTGGGTTTCAGTTATTACATACTGTTTTAAAACTCACTTCATGATTTTTTAAACTAAAGACCAGACATTGTGAGTGAACACTTGTAGGGGCTCCGAGTGCTATAATCTTTTTGCAAAGAGGGTTGGGTTTTCTTTTGTCAGGTGAAGAGTATGCTTTTAGATTCTGTTATGATGTTCTGCAGTTTTGCACTTTCTACTGGGTGGAGCATAGATCTGTGACCCTGTGGACTTGAGATATTTACCAAGATTTTAGAGTCTGACTAAAATTGAAATAATATCACATTCAACTTCCTACCTGCTTCACCCTGTCCTCCTCCACCCCTTCCCAATCTGTGATGTAAGTGCTCCTTCTAAACTAAAACACACTAGCTATCTCATTAGCTCCCTTCCCCCCTGTCCCAATTTATTGGCCCCAATCCTCCCATCCTGGCTCTTTGCCCTGCTGCCAAAGACCAGTGGCCTTTGATCCCCTTGTCAAGGGCTCAGTTCCCACCCTCCATTGTTTTTGTATCACCTGAGGCTTGCCTTCCTTCTCTCACTTTCTTAAATTCCATCTCTGAGCACCACCTCTTATGCCTGGTTCAGAAGACAGCCCTTCTTCCTCCTCACCTGCCCTCAACAATACTCATCTTGCAAAACAAAACTGTAGTCAACATGCATGACACTAGAAATTCTCTCATTCCTTGTGTACAGGAGGAAGGACCTTATGTTGCAGAAGCAGTGAAATGGCTCATATACTAGAGACACCAAACTCTCAGACTATTTTGAATGTAAAATCTACTTTGAGCTAATCCCAAGTATTGTTGCATAAAATTTAGGAAATTAAAACAATAAACAAATATGCCAGTGGAGTCCTCCCAATTACCATGGCATAATTTCTCTACTTGTGGTTACTTGTCCATCTCTGCTCACCTGTGTTGTGGTTTAATTTTAGGTTCTGGGAGGCTCAGCCCTCTTTGCTAGGTGTGACAAGGGCTCTGTGTCTCTTGCCAGGAAGGAATAGAGTTAGCAGTGCTATAATGGGCAAGGAGGTGATGAACACCCTCCAGCTCTCTTGGATACCTTGGCACCCCTTACCCAGCCATGGAAGATTTGCAGAGGGTTTCCCAGGAAAGTGACTTATTCCCTCATCCTGAATCTAATTTTGTCACTTATTCGGCAATCACTGAGACATCCCATAATAAAAGGAACAGTGCTAGGTGCTGAAGGCAAAAGACATTTTGATCCAGGTTTGGTTCAAGAGGCCGCTAGTATATCATCTGGTTGGGATTCAGTGCATTTGGGAGACAAAACACAAGCAATGCCACTGCCCCACGCATGCGCTTATGAAGCACAACATTCCACACTGATGTCGCCACGCGGAGAGGCATGGTGCTAGGACCTGAGGGAAAGGAAGGGACTGGTGATGAGGGCTGCAGGGAGGTGTGGGAAGCAAGGACAACACAGGCCAGGGTATGGGGACACAAGAGAGCATGCTGTCACACAGAAACCAAATTGGCTGGGTATGACTGGAGCACCAATTGGAAGGAGAAAAAAGCTGCCTGCCGGCTGGCATTGACCCAAAACAAGACTGTGATTTACCTGCATGCTGTGTCTTGGGAAGTCACCTATCAGACTTGGCGGGGGTCTCTCTGGGAACAGAGGGAGACATCCGGGCTGGATGCAGGAGACCTGAGCAGGGCGACTGCATAGCCATGAGGGCTGGGGAGTCACAGTGCCCACTTCTTAGACCAATAGACAGCTTTTGTCTGTGTCAATCTGTCTTTATCACAGACTTCAAAACTGCACTTCTTCAAAACCTGCCTTTCTGTGTTGGAGTAATATTTTATCGGCTTGCCTGTGACTGCATGTGGGGCCTCGGAGTCATTTCTGACAGCCTCTTACTTTGTTTCCTCGAAAATGCACATTTACACTTTAGTGTGAGTGATCCTGCAATGCAGTCAAAAGTATGTTCACTGTCTTTATGTGACACTGTGGGACAGGGCCTAAGACATTGTCCATCAGGGAGGCCACATGGCATGGACACCCCCACCTCACAGTTCTCTCAGCCTCCTGCTCTGATTCACTTATTGCCTGTCATGTTTCACAGACAGTGACTGTGCCTGCTTCATTCATTGCTTTACCCATAATGCCTAGAACACATATAGGTACCAAAAGAGATTTGTGAATGAATAAATAACAAATGAATGAATAAGAAGAAGGGCCTGCCTGATCAAGAAAGGTTTGAGAGAGAAAGAAGTCGGGGAAGCAAAGTACAGAGTTTGTGAAGTGTTCCTATGGGCCGTGGATGGAATCCTCTCTAATTTTCTTTGACAGATGTGAATGAAAATTGAGATTACTTTTAAACTAAAACAATAAAGAAAAGGGTTATGCTTACTTTCCCATTTCACAGCTGAGGCCTGTTCAGGTGTGGAGATGTATCTCATCAAAACGCAGAACTGAACACTGGTTTCTCGATTCCAAGCCATTGCTTTGCAGGGAAAAACCATCTCTGCCTAAAGGGACCAGTCAGAGAGTGGCAGTGATGAGGAGGGAGCACAGGAGGACATTGGAAACCCCAGCAAGGGAAGGGCAAGAGTGTGAGGGGCCAGCCCTGGCACAGGGGTAAGGGAGCCAGAAATAATAATTTTGCTTAAAGCAAGCACATACCATTTCACGTTGAAATTTGTATCACTAGAGAATGAGCTGTTCAACTTACTGAGGGAAGAGACCTGCCTTTCTTACTTCTGTGGTATTAAGGACGTACCGTGCACCCAGGAAATAGTCATTGAACTGATTGTCAATAATAGGTCACTACAGGTCCATTGCGTACACCCACCCAGCTGCTGCTGATGCCTGTCTCTTGGTGTTTTCTCTCTGCCATGGAATCCTCTCCACTTCCTCCTTCCTTCTTTCCCTTTCTCCCTCCCTCCCTCTTCTCTCCTTTCCTCTCTTCCCTCTCTTCCCTCCCTCCTTCCTTCCTCCTTCCCTCTCTCTCTCCTTTCTTCTCTCCTTTCCTCCCTTCCTTCCTTCCTCCCTTCCTTCCTTTCACCAGCTCAGCTCCATTCCAGCCCCTCTGGAATCCCTCCTCTTTTGATTAATGTGGGATTCCATTTCTCTCCATCACTAAGAACACAATGCTGTGCTCTCTAATTATGCTAATATCTCACCTTTCACTGCTCTGTAGTTTATAAACGTCATTAAGCTTCTTAAGGATAAGCTCCATATTTTTATTTCCTAAGTCATGGTCAATGCTCGAGTACTTAGTTCACTGTTTTTTCACATACTCCTAAATCCTAATGAGAGGTGAATTCAAAGACATGCCTACACTATCTATTACACACCGTGGCCGTTCATTCATTCATTCATTCAGCAAACATTTACTGAGTACATTCCTGGGACAGACACTGCAGCTTCTGAGATATGGCTGCAAATAAGAGAATGATTCCTGCTCTGGCAGAGCTCACAGTCAAGTGTGAAACCATCACTGAGCAAATAAAGAAAATACTAGAGAACTGAATTAAACAACCACCCAAACTTACTGATGAAGAGAAAGGAGGAGCATTGAAAAAAATGCGTGAGGCTGCTATTGCTAAGCGTTTTATTTTGCCTCATGGAAAGAAAATAACCACTGGGGCTGGATTTGGAGTTGAACCCCATCACTTAAAATGTTTTTCTAATATGGCTGACTCTCAGTTTCACTGCCTGTAACGTGGGAATAATAATGGAGGTTTGTTGTGACCATAACCTATGCAAACTGTACAACCCCGGGCATGGCTTGGTGAATTGCCTGAGGCATTATTTAATCATAATTTTGCTTTACATTCAATGTTGGGTATGTGAGCAAAAAGGGAAAAGCTTGCCTGTGATCTGAAACAAACTGTCCTTTCGACAGAAAGAGGACTTGCCAGACGCTGAGGCCGTGGACCTATACGAATTTCACTTCAGTGACTTCCCCATTACAGAGCACGAGTTGGTTAAATGTGGCCTACGACTGTTTTTCGAAATAAATGTGGTGGAGAAATTCAAAGTGCCTGTGGAGGTTAGATGGTATTTCATTAAATTGCTGTTTGATTCTGTTGCTGGGTTTTACTAATGTTTTCTGCAGTTCAAAAGATTAACTCAGTTTGGATTCTAAATTATCATTAACTTGGTAAATACATCAGCTTAAACTCTGTCAACAAAACCAACACATATTTTTAGATAAGATTGACACAGGCCTTCTAACCTTTAGAATTCTATTCCAAAGTCTGAGTGGTGTTGTCGCCTTTGGGTCACAGGTTCTTACCAGATGGATGTACACCGTGAGGAAAGGGTACCGCTCCGTCACTTATCACAACTGGCGACACGGATTCAATGTGGGGCAGACCATGTTTACTTTGTTGATGGTAGGTACAGAGGACTGGAAATCGTTGTAAACCTGGGAATTTTCTGCTTGAACAGTGTGAGAAATGGGTATGATCCATCTTGACGGATCTGTCATTTTGAAATTCATGGGCACAATCCCACAAAGCCAGTCCCCTTGCAGGTGACCCCAGAGATATGGGTTTCCCTGGACACTCGGCTGGATTATCATTCAGACACCCATGGACTTGCTTTCTTCAAGAAAAATTCAGTTGCCTGTTAGGTTGTAGAATTACCCAGAATTCCACAAGACTCACAAGAAATAAAGCACCCTCGAGAAACATGGTGGGTCCTTCTGCCTCGAAGGCTGACCTGGCTACAGAGGTGAATTAATCCACGTAAGTATGTCTCTGTCTATATTTTTAGACAGGAAAACTAAAGAAATACTACACGGATCTTGAAGCTTTTGCCATGCTTGCTGCTGCTTTCTGCCATGACATTGACCACAGAGGCACCAATAATTTGTACCAGATGAAGTAAGTGAACACATGTGAAATGTTGACACATAGTGGTGGATTGTTGACGGCACCCTTGCCCCTTGGCCTATTCAATTCCCCTTCCATATGTGGGCACATCAGGTCCATGCTCTGCTCCCTGCTGAGTTTCAGCCCTCGTGATAACATCTGCTGTTTCTTCCAAGTGCTTCCATCCCCCTTTCCTTTCTGTTTCCATGTTGAACACATTCTGCCTCACTCTTACACTTTTGCCTTTTTTTTTTACCACTTTGTTTAATCAGAATATTGAATTCACATATTAAAGTGCATTAATCTTAGGTTTACACTTCTGAATATCTCAGAAACGTGCCAGCTGCACCTAGAGAACACTTCCTCCTGGGCTCAGTACCCTTCATTTCCTGGTCCTTTGGCTTCTGCCAGCCCTCCTTCTGTTGGTCATCCATCCTAGGTCAATGCCAACTTCCTCTCTAGCCCCAAGAAAGATAGCACACTATTAGGGTGCAGCCTCAGGGGCAGACAGATTTGGGTTCACAAATTATTTAAACTTTCTAAGTCTCAATGTCCTTATTTGGAAAATAGGAGTCATAATAATGGCATTCAACATGTAAGGTTGTTACACAGATCAGATGGGATTGTGCATATGAAGCCCTCCGCTCATGATGGACTCTAAGGGATTAATAAATATTGGGTGTTATTATCACTCTATATCATTGGCATTTCTCAAAATTCATCAGCAGTGCTCTTGGCCAGTCCAGCTTGTTAGCAATGACTTAAAATTGCTCTATCTGCCTCAGCCACACTTCGCCCCCATTTCTGATGCATGACCCACCCCTCTCCAGAGGTAAGGGAGAGGCGTGTTAGAGATGACAGCTTTGGAGTCTGAACTTGTGGAGTTCACTCCTCCTGGTTGAAGAATCTTGGGCCAGTCATGTAATCTACTTGAGATCCCATTTGTCAGCTATGAAAGGGTATAACATTGACCTCTCAGAGACTGTTATAAGAATCAAATGAAATTACAAATGCAAAACCTACATAGTAGGCCCTCAAGAAAAATGTATCCTGAGAAAGTGAAGTGCCTTGCAGACAGTGAAGTCTCACCTTCAGCCATTCTACCTACTAGGCTTTGTTTTGAAAGGAGGCTCTCCACTGAGGCTTGAGGCTGGGATGTCTTTGTCTGCAGAGGGTCTAGCCCCTGCTGAACACATGCTGTCCTGATGGCCATTGGAGTTCTCTTCCTCCCTCCCAATCAGCAGTGGATTCAGGGATTCAGTCCAAAGAAACTAACATTTATTGAGCATTTCTTGTGTGCTGGAGAACAAGCTAAGCACGTGATACCCACTGCCTAATTTAATCCTTGCAGCACCCCCACAGAGAAGGTACCATGTACTTCTCTTTTACAGAAGAGCAAAGAAGCTAAAAATATGTAAAGTTACACTTGCCTAAGGTTGTAAGAAGCAGCTGGATTTGATGTGGCATCTCACCTTATAGGTTTTTAGCCCCATTTCAGACCTCTGTGTTGCCCTGAAGTTTAGTCAATTGAAGATTTTGTTTTGTTTTGGGTCAGGTAGTCTAGGCTGGCCTTGAATTTACTACCCTCCTGCTTCAGTGCCCTGAGTGCTGGGATTGCAGGCAGGTACTACCACTCAGAGCTCTCTGTTGGTGTTCTTAAGCCATTTCTCTTCTTCAATCTGGACAGCAGGAATGTGTAAAGATTAAATGAGTTCATGCATGGAAGTGTTTCCCGACTGAGGACTGGGACAATCCTGCCTTCTTCAGCCTTAGCATGTCTCTACACCCTCTAGCAACTCTGCTAACATCCTGGGATGAAATGCAGTCTCTTTGCACACTGTCCTGTGATAACAATTCTTGATGAGTCTTTTTAATGCACCCCAATTGTGTTGGAAGTATGAAGTCCACAAAAGTATTGAGACACTGCGTTGCAAATGTAGTTAATAAAAAAGGTTAACCAAGACCAAATTATTCTTCTTATACAGATGATACTAAGGAGGTTACCTTGAAGTTACCTGAAGCTGTTGGGACACAGATGACTCTGCTTCCTGGCTGGCTTGACCTTGTGCCCTTGGTCTGATTACTTGTCTCCAAATGTCTGACCTCCTTGCTTCTGGCTTCTCCCTATTTCCCAGCCTTCTGCACTTTAACAAAGCCCTAAACCTATTCCTTCAAGTTCTTGTGTTCTCTCTATTCACTTCACTTTTCCAGTTGTTTTCTATTTGATGCTGTCATGGTCTATAGATTTCTCTCATCCCCTTTTCTCTGTTTTGTTTTTGAGTTATCTGGTCTTTTGATCCCTTTCATCCTATCCTTGGAGAAATGCAATTATCAGAAAAAAATAGTAGGACTAGCCAGGCATAGTGGTTTACTTCTGTAATCCCAGTTTACTCAGGAGATGGAGCAGAGTATCATTGAGTTTGAGGTCATCCTGGGCAAAGTTAGTGAGACCCTGTCTAAAAACAAAATACAAATAAAAAGGACTGGGTGTGACTCAAGTGCAAGAGTCTGGGTTCAAATCCCCAGTACTGAAAAAAAAAAACCAATTTATTGAATTCATCTCACTCTTCCATCTAGTGTAGGCCTCTTTCCCTGTAGACCTTCTTGTGTCTTCCAGTCTGTATTTATTATTTTCCATGATGGGGAATCCACTTTCTCACAAGATAGAGCATTCTTTTTTGGTGTGCTTCTAATGATTGAATGTTCTTGATGATATTGAACTGAAATTGATCTCCTTACAATGTCTGCTTCTCCTAGTGCAAGTTCTCATCCACTAGCTATTCCTGCATATATTAAAGAGAATTTTCATGGCCCTCCCCAAAGCATTTGCTTTTCCAGGTTGAACATACAAAGTTGTTTTAACTGGTTTATTTTTTTTAAGTAATAGTTTCACATGTTGCATTTGGTTGTAAAGTGTCTTTACTCTCTTTTACTCTAGATTAGTTTCTCAATATTTGGTATTGTTCAGGATGTCAATTTTTTGAAGACTCTAGGCTAGTTATTTTGTAGAATAGCCCTCAATTTTGGATTCACCCAATCGTTTCCTGATTACTAAATTCAGGGTAAATATTCTTAGCAAGAATTCTTTGTAGTCAATGCTGTGTCATTCTCTGTGCATTGCATTGGGAGGCCCATACCAATTTGTCCTATTAGTTATGAAGCTATTTGTGGATGATATCCAGCAGGTGTCTTTATGTAAAATAATTTTTTTCTCTTTATAAGTAATAAGTAATATTTTGAATATAACATATTTGGCTGATTTTTTTAAATTCATATGTATGTACAATGTTTGGGTCATTTCTCACCCCTGCCCCCACCCCCTCCCTCACCAACCACTCCGCCCCGTCCCTCTTCCCCCACCCGCTCGATAAACGGCAGAAACTATTTTGCCCTTATCTCTAGTTTTGTTGAAGAGAGAGTATAAGCAATAATAGGAAGGACCAAGGGTTTTTGCTACTTGAGATAAGGATAGCCATACAGGGAGTTGACTTGTACTGATTTACTTGTACTGATTTCCTGTGCACGTGTGTTACCTTCTAGGTTAATTCTTCTTGATCTAACCTTTTCTCTAGTTCCTGGTCCCCTTCTCCTATTGGCCTCAGTAGCTTTAAAGTATCTGCTTTAGTTTCTCTGCATTGAGGGCAACAAATGCTATCTAGTTTTTTGGACGTCTTACCTATCCTCATATCTCCCTTGTGGGCTCTCACTTTATCATGTGATCAAAGTCCAATCCCCTAGTTGTGTTTGCCCTTGATCTAATGTCCGCATATGAGGGAGACTATACAATTTTTGGTCTTTTGGGCCAGGCTAACCTCACTCAGAACTATGTTCTCCAATTCCATCCATTTACCAGTGAATGATAACATTTCGTTCTTCTTCATGCCTGCATAAAATTCCATTGTGTATAAATACCACATTTTCTTAATCCATTCATCAGTAGTGGGGCATCTTGGCTGTTTCCATAACTTCGCTATTGTGAATAGTGCTGCAATAAACATGGGTGTGCAGGTGCCTCTGGAGTAACCTGTGTCACATTCTTTTGGGTATATCCCCAAGAGTGGTATTGCTGGATCATGTGGTAGATCAATGTTTAGCTTTTTAAGTTGGCTGATGTTTTTAAATATAAAATAATTAAACACTTCACTCCCTTCTAACTGGAATTGAACTTTATCATTATTATTATTATTATTTTAATTTGCATTTGCAGCATCCCTCTGTTGGGTCTTGGGGGCCCTCCACAATCTCATAAGGCTCCCTGTGGTCCACTCTGTCCAGAGCCATGCTTAAAATTCTGCTGATATCCATCCGCTGATAGCCAGAGTAGTCCTGGGAGCACTGAACCGAGACTGTGTATAACCACTGTTTGGAGTGTTAGAGAATGAAGGACGGTAACCATCATATCCTCCTCTGAATCCATTGGCAGGGCCTTGGTATCCATTCATCAAGCCTCTAGCACCATGGGAACCTCCACAAGACACACCGCGACTGTTGTAGTAAGGCTGGCTGCTCTGAGGAAATCCAGAGTAAGACTGGCAGCATGGTTCAAGTGGTAGCACGCCTGCCTACCAAACATAAGGCCTTGAGTTCAAACCTCAGTATAACCTAAAAAAAATTTAAAAAAATAAAAATTTCAATGTTTACACAGAGCAGGTATGCTGATATCTGTTTAAATTATGACCAATTTTAATATCAATCAGACAGAGCCTAATTGCTCCCCAATATGAGCATTTGATTTGGCTTGCCACATCCATCAGAAAGCTGTCAGTGACTCTTCCCCTCTGTGAATTCTGTTCTCCATGAAGTAAAATAAAGCTTCTTTAAGGCTGCTTCCCATATTTCTGGTATCTTCCTTCTTAAAATGAGTTAATCCATATTTTCAAGTCAAAACTCTTCCCATGTCTTCAGACCTTTGCCTCAGCCTCTTTCCCCCTTCTCTTCCTTTTACCTTTCTACTTTCAGCATAGCTTCACCTTCCTGGGACAGGAGGCACTAAAGAAACCCAGAGTACCAAAGGCTGAAGATACAGCTGTGACCTAACTCTTAACAAGAGGGAACCTTAAATTTAGATTTATTTACCTTCTTGGGTCGGGGGAAGAAATGATACTTTTCAGTGATACTTTTGTTCCTAAAAAGTCTTAATCAACACTCTCTAGGCAGATAGCTTATGAATTTCCACAGATTTACTGCATGTTATAGAAGTCATTAGCCAGATGCTGGTGGCTCACACCTGTAATCCTAGCTACTCAGGAGGCAGCAATCAGGAGGATCACGGTTCAAAGCCAGCCCAGACAAATAGTTTGTGAGACCCTATCTCGAAAAAACCCATCACAAAGGAGGCTGGTAGAGTGGCTTAAGGTGTAGGCCTTGAGTGCAAGAAAAAAAAAATCATTATGTACCACCACAAGTCCTAGGGAACTAAAAAATTTTAGATACAGGGTACAGGATGAACCAAACTTCCTAGTTTAAACAATTCAATCATTTATACATTCAACAAAATTTTTTTTTCAAAAAATTGCATATTTTCCAATGTGTTACTTTGACAATTTCAGTCAACTGGCTGGGAAGGTAAAGGGGAGACATGAAAAAGAATCGTGAGAGATGGTAAAGATTCTGTATTGTTCGAACTTATGTGTGATCTTTGAACTGCTGAACTTATGGCATACCCTTTTCATCCTAGGTCCACATCTCCACTAGCAAAGCTTCATGGGACTTCCATTTTGGAGAGGCACCACCTGGAGTACAGTAAGACTCTCTTACAAGATGAGGTATGAAAACCTTTCTCTAGGGCAGCTCACGGGTTTGGAATCAAAGCACTAACCTACAGAAAATGCTTGGAAAGAGAGTAGTCCCAAGTTATGGCACTGACAACATGTACCCTTACCTAACTCAATTGACAGAAGTCAATATTGCAGTAGTGTTTGCACCACCAAGCTGGAAGTAGCTGGAACAGAGGATAGGAGAGCCATGGGAAATGGCAGAACCTCTATGTCCACGGGTAGAGAATGAAAAGCATATGGTGGGTGTGAAAGGTCTCTGTGCCCCCTAAAACACACATAAATAAATATAAAGGGGAAGGAGGCTACAAAGCCACTGATTTTCTTATTCATTCATGAGGCACACACTGCAGAGCATGGTGTGTACCTGGGAGAAAGTCGGGCTTTGGTAGTGGAGGTATATGTGGATTAGAATATAAGACAGGATCAGACAGCTGCCATCAAAGAGGCCCTGCATTAGGCCCTGGAGCTCCAAAGGGAGACGCCACATTCATGGAAGGGAGTAGATCAGGGACAACTTAGGCAGCAAGTGGCTTTGACCCCCTTCCATTTATTATAATTGGCACTTAATGTGTACTACTAACTTTCCAAATATCAATTTTAAGGGGTATATAAGAATGTGGAAAAGTTATGGACATAATCTAATTAAACTTTCTTAAGAAAGTTCCAAACCAAAACAACTCAAATGAGTAGTTATCAGATTGAAGGACCCACTAGTTTTCACAGGCAGAGAATTTGTTAGAATTATGTGCTTATTTGGAAAAATACACTCTGGGAACTGGAGCTTTTCTCACCTTCAGGAATAATCTTTTATTAAAGGCTCACATATCCAAGTGTAGAGATAAAACTCTGAGATAATCTGTGATTATTATCTGTGATTGATACAGCATCTGACACCACACCCATCCTAAATGTGCTGAAGCATTTCTCAATCCACAGTGCCATTGTGTCTTTGCCCACTTTCTACTGCTATAACAGAATACCTGAGACTGCATAATACAGTCCAAGGTTTATCTTGGGAAATCAAAGATCAGGCATCCATATCTCCTTGACTTTTGGTGGGGCTCATCATGGAAGAGCAAGTGAGTGCATGAAAAAGAGACAAAAATGCAAGGGTCTAAGTAATAACCCACTCTGGTAAAGACAAAGCCACTGCCTCATCACTTTTTTTTTTTCTTTTTTGGTGGAACTGGGGTTTGAACTCATGGCTTTATGCTTGCAAAGCAGGTGCTCCAGCTTTTGAACCACATCCTCAGCCCCCTTATCACTTTTTAATGGCCCTGCTCTCATCAGGTCTGGGGACAGAGGGTTCTTGGTCTGGTTGGAGAAAAAATTCAAGGATGGAGATAGAGGTAACGTAGTTTAACAGGTAACAGGCTTATTAAGGTGAAAGTACACTCTTGAGACAGGAGCTAGGCAGCTCAAGAATGAGCAGTTGCCCCACGGGTCTTAAGATTTTTAGTTTTTATTGGGTTTTGCATACATGGGGTTGGTCATTCCTGGGAAAAGGGAAGGAATTTCATGGGAATTGGCTATGTGTCATCATCCCTGCCCACATATCAGGTGAGGGAGTGTTTTTACTGAAGATGGGCAGGCCAGGACAGACACGGCTCCTGGGTAGACACTGGTTATGTGTCATTAACTCCTCCTACATTTCAGGCAGGGAAGTTTTTGTCCTGAGAAGGTCAGACTAGGACTTTCCATTTTTGCAGGCTACAGGGGCTGTCAGTCACTAAGACCAAGCTGCACATCGTGAGTTTCACTGACAGCACTGGGCCAGCATGTGTTTGTTCACTTTTTAAATCAAGATTGAAGCCATTGTTCTTAACCATCAGCTTTCCTAATTTCTTGCCTAACCCCTAAGTCACTATCACCTCTCAACATTGATTTTAACATGAATTTGGGAGGTGACAAACTATATCCTAATCACTACACCTTTGTGACTGTCGATGGTGGTTCTCAGCCACAGGTACTTGAACCAACTGCTTCAGAATAATCAATTTACCAGAGTGTGGGTGGGTAGGCTTTTAATAGCACAGACCCAGGTCCCTTTCCCACTTTCTGACCAGGCGTCCTGTTTGGGGACCCGGAATCTGCATTTTGAGCCAGACCTCTATTAATTCTGCTGTGCAGACAGAACTTCTCCCAGACACAAAATTCACAGCATGGATAATAACTGTTCTATGGTAATTAAAAGAGCAGAGCCGAAAGTAATTCAGGAAGGTAAGAGTAAACTGTCATTACCTAATCTGTCAAGAGTCTTTGTTTTACCTGTGGGACAAACGTTGGTTTCTGAGTAAGACTTTTCTTTACATCCCTTGTGACATAGTGAGGTAGAGTAAAATACAATCCATCACTTAATTATATTCACTTATTAAGAAAAATGCATCTAAAAAGCTATAACCGAATATGTAAATGCTTAACACTGGAAGGCTCCTAGGGTTTTATATGCTTTCCCTGCTGGGCTTTGACAATTTACGATAGAGGTACAGTCTTCCATCTTAATTTTTTATGTTGTTTACTTTGCACTCTAAACTGGCTTTGATGGCTACATAAAGACTTATTATTCTTTCTAAAAAGGAATTCTGCATCTCAGTAACCCACACCATCTCTTCAACAGCCTGTCTACAATACTATTCAACCTGCTAATTGCAGACTTTTAAAGCTTTGTCAATAGAGTTGCTAGGCAACACAGCCACACAGCCTGTTTAGGTCAAATTGAGCACTAAAAACAAGTTGACACTTTTAGCCAGGCTTTTTATGTTTTAGGGAAACAATGTAGTTCCTTTGTTTTTTTATTCTGTAAAGAAAATACACATACTAATTTCTTTTTATTTTGAATAAGGGAAATCCAGGGGATTTATCCAGCAATTTTGGTTTTTGTGGGCATTACTCAGACATTTATATGGCTTTGAAATGAAATATCCTTATATTTCTGTACAGCTGGACTCACAGCTTTGAGGAACAGAATTGTCTGTATTCTAAACCAGATAAGAACCAACATTTTACCTGAATGAATAGGTAGAAACTTTGTTAATCAAATTTGTAGGAGTATACTTCTTTGTTTGCTGCGCTGGGAATCAAATCCAAGGCTTTGCATGTTACATAAGTGTTCTGCCACTGAGCTACAGTTCCAATCCAGTGTATAAATTTAAACACTAAAATATATTGTAGAGATGAAAAAATAAATTACTCAGCCTAAATAGCAGAACTCAGAACATCTCTTTACAAAATATATATTCGTTTTACTTATGCTTTTTCATACCTATCCTTTAGCCTGTCCCATCGTATACAAAGAAATAGCGAGGAAGAAATTAAATTCTTTGTGCAGAGTTACTGGAGAGGACAGGACATGGTGGCAGTATTTTCCTGTGGATGTCAAAGGCACCACATTGAGGGTTAGAACTGTGCCTACTTCTCTGGCTTTGACTTACCTGACTGCCCCAATTAGAATGAAATAAAGCCATTTCTCTCTGCTTTGGCATGCTAATGGAATTCATATATTGCCATTTTAATAGTCAGAGGAGAACAAAAATAGACTCTGAGTTAGTGAAACCAGCTGAGCATCAGGAGCTGGCCTGGCTGGAGTGGGGTTGGAGAACAGGCCCGTCTTGTGTTGGTGCATCTGTCCCTACATAATGTTTTCAGCACAGTGTGCAGGGGGAAAATGGAATATCGTATGCTTATATATTTTTAAAAATTAATGTCTTAAGAGTTGTTATAAAAATTACATATGCCCTCTAGGAAAATTCAAGCAATAGGGAAAATGACAAAGACAAATACACAAAGAAAAAAATGAAAGACTTCAAATCTTACCATTCAGAACTATTTCCTTCATTAACATTTGGTGAACTTCATTGCAGTCACCCTATGTATCTATGTAAGCAACATGGAAAGAAATAATTTTTGAAAAATGAGATTACAAGCTATTTTTTTAACTCAAGAGTTATGTTTTCAATCAACTTTTTTGAATGTGTGTGTGTGTGTGTGTACATACACTAAACTGAATCCCTGTAAAGCATACAATTCTATGAACTTTTACCTTTTACTTTAATTATTAATAACTTTTTTGCAGTACTGGGGTTTGAGCTCAGGGCCTCCCACTTGCTAGGTAGATGCTTTACCAGATAGGCCATACCCCAGCCTCTGTTGCTTTTAGGTACTTTTTCAGGTAGGGTCTCATGTTTCTGCCCCCATAGTGGCCTGGAACAGCAATCTGCCTACCTAAGGCCTCTTGTGTAGCTGGGACCACAGGCAGTTCAAGTGGGGTCTAGCTAATTTTTTGCCCAGGCTGGCCTCAAATTGGCATCCTCTTGATCTCTGCCTCTTAAGTAGCTGGAATTACAGGTATGAGTCATCATGCCTGGCGAGTTTTTACCATTTTGTACACTTGGGAAATCACCACTGCAATTAAGATACAGAACATTTTTACCACCCCAGTTGATTGCTTGTGCCCCTTGTAGTTCATCCATCTCTCTGCTCCATTGAAATGTTTTCAAGCCCTAAAGATTAGCCTGCATTTTGTAGATTTTAGTAGGTGCAATCACATAATAAGTGGTCTTTTTCTTCTTTCATGCAGAAAAATAATTTGGAGGTTTGTGTCTGTCAGTGATTCATTCCTTTTCATTGCTTGGTAGAATTCCATTTATCTTAAATAAAAGGCATTGGGTTGGAGCTATAGCTCACTGTCAGAGCAGTTGCCAGCATGTGCGAGGCTCTGGGTCTGACCCCCAGCACTGTAAATAAATAAATAAATAAATAAATATATATATGTATATATATATATACACACACACATATATATGTATATAAGTATATATATTAAATAAGCAATTCACAAAGATCCAACTTTATGGATGTGGGTATTTTTAATCTCCAGTTTTTTCAAAAAGAAGATTGAATGGAGTTTCCAAAACTACATATGATATTAAAGAAAAATAAATGCTAATGGAGAAATAAGGAAAATTAGATGAATCAAGGTAAAGACATACACAGCCAAAATGTTTATAATGAGGTACATTTATTAGACATTGGCCACAAGTTTGGCTAAGAGCTTTCTAGCAACTAATACAAAAACAGAAAACAAGATCTTTTATATGAATCCATATTAATGACATAAAAATAATCAGAAACTTACACTCAAGTAAGGCAGAGTGGCTCAAGTGGTAGAGTGCCTGCCTAGCAAGTGTGAGTCTCTGAGTTCAAACCCCAGTATCACCAAAATAAATAAATAAAAATAAAGAACCTCAAGTAAAAGGATAAAAGAAAATAAATAGATAAATACAAGAATACAGAATTAAGAAAACATGTGGTACATGGTAATACACACCTGCAGTCCCAGTACTACAGAGCCTGAGGTAGGAGCATCATGAGTTCTAGGCTACTCTGACTATAAAGTGAGATCCCATCTCAAAAACAAGAAAAAGAAAAAGAAGACTTACAGAGAGTTTTAGATGAAACTAGTAACAATGATGATATATGCTATATCGTTTGATTGGTGACTGTGACAGGATTTCACTATGTAGCCTAGGCTGGCCCTGATTGGAGACACTCTTTCTCAGCCTCTTTAGTGCTAGGATTACAGGCATGTGCCTAGTAGCTATATTTTAAACTTTGTACTTAGAAATAAATAATATCTATATTTTAAACACCCAGGTACCATTTATAAAATTTGATCATATAGTAAGATGGAAAGCAAATATAGATTATAAAAAGTTTAATGTTCTTACCAATTTTCTCTGATGATAATGGTCATACACTTATTTTTTCCTTCTTTTTATTATTAATGCATGTAACAGGTACAACATATTAATGGATTTCTCTGTGACATTTCCATATATGTATGTGTGTGTGTGTGTATATATATATATATATATATATATATATATAAAATCTTTGGTCATATTCACCTCCCAATTGCCTTCTTTTACCCTCCCTCCTTTCCTCATCCCTTACCTCTCCCTACTAGTTTCTCTACTATTTTAAGTTCATCTTTTTTGTTTTTGTAGCAAAAACTTGTCTTTCTGCATCTGGCTTATTTTGCTTAGCATGATGATCCATTTTCCTGAAAATGCATGATTCCATTCTTCTTTATGGCTTATACTCCACTGTGTGTCATACATACTGTATTTTCTTTATCTATTCATCTGTTGACAGGTACCTCGGCTGATTCCATAGCTTGGCTATTGTGACTAGTGTGACTGTGCAGATGTCTCTATTGCATGTTGATTTCATTTTCTTCAGGTGTACACCCAGGAGTCATATCACTGGATCACATGGTAGTTCGATTTTTAGTTTTTTGAAGAACCTCTATAATGATTTACATCACGGCTGCACTAACATTCCCACCAACAATGTATAAGGGCTCCCTTTTTCTCACATACTTGCCAGAATTTGTTAGTTTTTGGTTTTTGGTAGTAGCTATTCTGCCTGGGATGAGATAGAATGTCATAGTTTTTATTTGCATTGCCCTGATGGCTAAAGATGTTGAATTTTTTTTTCATATATTAGCCACTGTATTTATTCTATTGAAAAGTGTCTGTTCAGATCATTTGCCCATTTATTAGTTGGATTGCTTGTTCTTTTGTTGTTAAGGGGTTCTTTTTGTATATTCTGGATATCAGTCCTCTGACGAATGGCTGGCAAAGATTTCCTCCCATTCTGTAGTCTATTTCTTTGCTCTCTTGATTATTTACTTTGGTATGCAAAGACTTTTTAATTTGATACAGTCTCATATATCATTCTTGGCTTTTATTCTGAACTATTGGAGTTCTATTTAGGAAATCATTACTTGTATCAATATCTTGAAGTGTTTTGCTATGTTTTCCTCTAGCACTTTCAGAGTTTTGGGGTGTTAGATTAAGGTCTTGATCCATTTTGAGTTGGTTTTTTGTACAGGTGAAAGATAGGGTTCTAGTGTCAATCCTCTGCATGTGGATATCCAGTTTTCCCAGTACCATTTGTTGAAGAAGCTACCTTTTCTCCAACATATATTTTTGGCACCTTTGTTGAGAATCAGATGGCCAAAGCTGTGTGAATTTATTTCTGGAAACTTTGTTGGTCTGTGTGTGTGTGTGTTTATGCTAATGCCATCTTGGTTTTGTTACTATAGCTTACGCCAATTTTTAAAAATGCAATATTGTTTCATATTGAAAAGTAAAAGAACTTTCATATTACAGCTGTTTTATTATTTCAGATTTGAAAAATCTATCACTTAAATGGAGAATTGACAGTATTAGTCCTGTTTATTTCTAATCTCTCTCTTTATATGTGGCTTTTTCTTGCATACGTATATATACTTATCAAATAGCAACAGGTGTCCAGGCTTACAAACATAAGTAATACGCACTGACATAATTGTTGCATAAAAAATACTGATTTGGTCAATGGTTACAGAGTATATACTCTGTACAACCTGGTAGAGACAAGGAAGTTTCTGACCTCCAGTATTCTTTGAATTCAGCAGTGTTTGACTGTTGTTTGTTTGGTTTTTGTTGTTGTTTTAATAAACAGGGTCTCCCTCTGTCACCCAGGCTGTCTTAAACTCATAATTCCTCTGCCATAACCTTCCAAGTGCTGTGATTACAGATGTGTGCTACCATGCCCAGCTGTTTGCCTTTTTAAAAGGATTCTGTGTGCTGTAAATATTAATTTCTCCACAGCGTGAGGCATTTCCAATCTTCTGGCCCTCCCCGTATCTTTCCTAGCACAATAATCAAGGCTGGTTTTAGGGTTGTTGAATCAGCACAGTTGGTGTGATCAAACCATGTATGTTGCTTCTGGAACAAAAATGTTGACATGCCACTGGGTCACCAAGAAAGGGAAAGCCACCACATACTAAAATCAGGAGATTAAGTGAATTAAAAATGACAGATGACCCACTTCCCTTCCCCCTCCCTAGCTGATCCAGACCAGGTTGAAATAACTTGTTCCAGAAGATTTCACTCAGAGCTTCTGGTCTGATCTGCCCAACAGGGCTGCGCTGAACTGTGCCAAGTAAGAAACTGATTTTAATCTAGACACTTTTTAATTTTTCTTTGTTGTAGTTTGGAGTATTTTCTAGCCATCATTCTCTCCATCCAAAAAGGCTGACTAGTTACTACGACTTAACATATTTTTTAACAAATTCCAACTTTCCTTTCACATATATTTTTTTGTGAAATACCACTTTCTTGTCCTAGAAGATGTTAAAAGATGACTTTAATAAAGATTATATATTGCATAGTATAGTCTTTAGGACTTGAGTTCTTATCCAACTGTTACTTCCTAATATTTCAATCTCCTGGAATGACTAAAAGTCATATTCAGCCTTGGGTTGCAATTCTGTGTGAACCTGGTGCTAGCCTAAAGACTACATAGCAATAATGACAGACCAAGAGTTCAATTTTATAGCAATTTGCATTTTTAAGTGATTTATTATTGCCTTATTCAAGTCAACACTCTATTGAGCTTTATTGAGGATTGACTAAGTGCTATGCAGTTGGTCAGAGCAGCTGCTATTATGCTTGTTTGAAGAAAACAAGCACTCACAGATGTTAAGGGCAGTGTCCAGGATTGTACAACTACCAAGAGGTGAGGCCAGGGCCTACCCCTGGTTGACCACTGTTGAGAGGTACTGTAGGATGAAAAGAGCTCAAACTCATTGTAGGCATGCAGTTTTGATTCAGATACCAGTTCTGCTCTGGTCTAGCTAGTGTGAGGAGATTAAAAGCAATCAAACTGCACTTAAAACCTACTTGCTGGTATGAAGTCAGTTTTGCTATTATATTTGGCTTTTGGTCCAGTATACTTTTTATATTGTGCTCCCTCTGTCTCTACATTGGTTAACAGACTATCTCTTCTTTCCTCCTAAGGTCATTTTTCTGTATTTTATCACTAGCAACTTCATTTGGTAATAGCACTCTACATTTGTCCCTTGGCCTATATTTGGAATATCAGGCCTTTAACCATTCCAAATTTTATACTCTGGTTTTCTACACTACAAAATGAAGCTAATGTATATGTGAAGAGATAATTAATAATAATAAAACCTCTTTGAACAAAGGTCTAGTAAAGTCTTTGACAAATATTATTACAAGAAAATATTTTTAGGATAATGAGATGATTTTGTCATTTTTTCCCTAAATATACATGAGTACTAGAATAATGTACAGTTTCTGAATGATGGTTTCTATGCTCACTCTAAAGTTACCTGGCACATAATGAAACAGGTCAAACAACTGGACATCTAGAAATTCTTTATTAAAGCAACTTAATTAATTCAAGCAAATTTTTAGTCTATTATTTTTTTAATGGTCCTGGAAGAAAACACTTTTATTTACTCTAAAAATTTAGACATGGACTACCTGAACATTAGTTATTAGCATCTATATTTAGAGTTTAAACTACCTTACTCAAAATACAGAAGCAGGGTTTACTTAAACCATGAGATTAAAAACTGAAAGCAAAAAAGCACTAAAAGCCCTAGATTTCTCTTGTTAAGCATAGTTTGTTTGTTGAACAAAGGCAAATTAATTAATTCAATTTTATTTTCATTTTACAGAGTTTAAACATTTTCCAGAAACTGAACAAACGGCAGTTTGAAACAGTTATTCATTTGTTTGAGGTTGCAATAATAGCAACTGACCTGGCTTTATATTTCAAGTAAGTACATACCTGCCCAACAACAGATATCCTTACCCTCTGTGTGAGTCTGCCTTCCACGAACTATCTTTGAACTGAAGTTCAAAGGCATGCACACAGTCTGTTTGCTCTTCTTTGGGGATATCAATTATAATCTCCTCAGGAGAGATTCCTGATAGTGAATTTACTAGTCATTCAGACATATATTTTAAAACGTAAGCTCCCTGTGTTAAGTAGCTTGCTATCTGAAAAAGATGGGATTGAGGAAAATGCAGTGAAGTTTGTTCATTGCCAGAGCAATGATGTCAAGAAACCTCATACACTGCCTTTTTGTTCTGGTGAATTTGCCATGGTCCAGAATTTGGTTATTTGTTGCCTCAACCTCATGAATTTGATCCTGTGAGAGTCTGAGAGCTGAACACACATGAACCAAACTCACACAAGTGAGTTATATGCAGCAGAGGGCCAAGTTATTTATAATAATAATATTACCAAGGAGACCAGATTCTCAGAATGTCTGCACATTTTCTTGTAAGTGAAATATAAAGTTACTTGGTGAACACTGGTTCAAACAAAGTGGGCTAATTATGGACTCCAAATATTCAGTGACTTGGGCATTGTCAAATTTTGCCTTTATGATCTTTCTTAATAAAAAATTTAACTGTGAAATAGTCTAGCTATGAAGACAAATACTGAGAACATAATGAATAGACAAATACCCATAGCCCAGATTTAGCCAATGTTAAATTTTGCCACAGTTGCTTCAGATCTGTTTTAAAAGAGGAAAACAAAATTAGTGATGCAACTGAGGCATTCCTTCCCTTCTCCCAAGGATATCACCATCAGGATATCGATGTATATTCATCTTTTCCATCCAGTTTTATATGGCATTGTTAAGAGTGGTTTACATTTTCCCTTATATAATTTCATACTGTCTTTACATACCTCTCTGCCAATTGCTTTTTGAGGATTTACCCTTGGTAATCAATGGCGAGCCAATTTATATGTTTCAACTATACAGAGTATTCAGCTGTTGAATATTTCCTAATTAATTTACTCATTCCTAGATTGTTTCTAATTTCTCATCATTGCCTACAATGCTACATTATATGTACTTGTACATACTTGAGAGTTTCTCTAAGGTATATATCTAGGAAAGGGAATACAGCAGGATTTGCGTATGCTTGATGTGCCTCTTTGCAAAACTATGTTCTTGAATAGTTGTGCTCATTTACATTCCCATTGGCAGTGTATAGTGTCACTGTGATCCCATCTATGGGATACTCTGGATCTAAGCACACTTAAAATGTTTTGCTAATCTAGTGATTGTGCAATGGTATTTTATTGTTCACATTGTATTTCCTTGATTACCAGTGAGACCAAACATCCAATTATTTTGGATTCTACTTTTCTGTTGTTTATATGTGCTGTGATATGCTATCTGTCTGTGGCATCTATGTTTGTTATGGTCTCCTTTCTCACTTGTAACTTAGTTTTAATGCAGTCAGACGTACCTGTTTATTCCCTTTATGTTTTGCACCTTTTCTGTCTCAAGCCTTTTCTATGCCAAAGCTCTCCAGCCATTGCCTGTTTCCTTATCCTCCGGCCCTTTAGACTTCTGTGGACACCCAGAGGCAAACTGAGAACCTGAGATGTTAAAAGTACACATTTAAGGTACTTTTTCTCTGCTTTTATATGGAAAAACTGTTGTACAGCTGTATCTTTTCCAGGAAGAGAACCATGTTTCAAAAAATTGTTGATGCCTGTGAACAAATGCAAACTGAAGAAGCAGCCATCAAATACGTCACCACTGACCCAATCAAAAAGGAGATTATCATGTGAGCAGCCAAGATTCTATTTCTCCTCACAAAAACACCATATTTTGTATTTCTTTTTATCTTAACAATTTTTCTTTTCTATTTAAGGGCAATGATGATGACTGCGTGTGACTTGTCTGCTATAACCAAGCCCTGGGAGGTACAGAGTCAGGCAAGTCCAGCTGTGTTTCTTTCCTGCCACACTCTCAGGTACTGTCCAGATGCCATGAAAAAGTCCACACAGAGGTCTCTGGCTACCTCAGAATCCCATCCTCACAAATTACAAACATCAATAAGACAAGTCATTTGATCAGACACAAGAATAAAATAAGTGCAGGAAACCTGGTCAAGAAAATGCTTTCTTGAAAGAATTCCTTATCACTGAGCAGGTTGGAAAAAGTTTTATATAAATTCCAGGCCTGGTGGCATGTGCCTGCAATGCCAGTAGTTGGGAGGTGGAGGCTGGAGTACAGAGAATTTGCATACATTGCAAGCCCTTGTCTCAAAAAATAAGCAAGCAAGAAGTGCATTTTCCCCCAAAACTTATACAAAAATAACTTTATAAAAGAAGAGGGTTTAAAAAAGGCAAAGCTACATTAGCTTTAACTTCTCTTGACCACTCTCAAGGACCCCTAGTGTACTTCAGAGGCAGCTCCGGGAATAACAGCCATGGTTCTCAGGAACCAAATAAAACTTCCCAGCACAGCACACAGAGCCTGTCCCAACCTTCTGTAGCTCACACTCCTGGGATCATTTCCCATCAGTCTTTCCATGTCCTCACCTCGCACTCCAAGCTCCTACCCACATAAGCTCTGGACAGCCCATTTATCCTTGCACACAACCTTACCCTCCTGTTTCCCTGGCAAACTATGATTCACTCTTGATAATACAGCGTAATGCATCCTCCCTTCATGACACCTTTCCCTCTCTCTCCTTGACCCATAGCACTTACACTCTCAGTATTAGAGCACTTACCACATTGATGACATGGCTGTCTTCACAAGATTGTAAGCATTTTTAAGAAAAAGGTCACCTCTTAGGCTTCTTATCAAGCCTGGCTCATGCCAATGTCAAGCAGCCAACAAATGTTCATGGAACATGATTTTTTTTTAATGATATAAGCTAGCCCATGAATATCCTCAGACTTTAATCAAGTAAAGCTATGTACTGATTTGGGAATGTGTGTCTATTCATACACATAGACATGTGCTAGATGCTCACATACAGGACAATGGAGGATTGAAAATGTAGGAGCTTGAATTGTAATGGACATTGTTTATTTTTGAGACAAGGTGTTGCCATGTAGCCCAGGTTGGACTTGAACTCATGATCCTCCTATCCCAACCTCCGGAGTGCTGGGGTTATAGGCCTGCACCACCACATCAAGTAAAGCATAATGTTTTATGGAACTAAACATCCTTCCATTCCCCTTCTTTATTGCTAAGAGGTGGTGATACAAATAGGATAGATACAATCAGAATTCATCTACAACACTAAAATAGGAAAAGAAAGTTCTCTTTCCTCATTTCAATATAATCTGTCAATGGTACCTTTTTCTTTTTTTGTGGTACTGGGGTTTGAACTTAGGGCCTATACCTTGAGCCATTCCACCAGCCCTTTTTTTTGTGAAGGTTTTTTTTTTTTTTTTTGAGATAGGGTCTTGCAAACTATTTGCCTGGGCTGGCTTTGAACCATGATTTTCTTGATCTCTGCCTCCTGATTAGCTAGGATTACAGGTGTGAGCCACCGGCGCCAAGCAATGATATCTTTTTATAACTTCAGAGCATATGGTTTGATAATACCGCAAGCACTGACTGGAAACTCTACTCTTAAATGACCCTCATGCTAACAAAATGCAAGTTCTGTATTAATGAGCAGATGTAGTGAACTGAGCTGTTTTTCCTTGCAGGTAGCACTTCTGGTTGCAAATGAATTTTGGGAACAAGGCGATCTGGAGAGAACTGTGCTGCAGCAACAACCTATTGTAAAGACCTTGACATAAAATGCACTATTTATTCAAAAGTTCCAGTATAAATAGGTCTGTTTTGTTCACTAAATGTTAGGAAAGCTTCTTAAAAAGATTTATTTCTCTTTCTAGCCTATGATGGACAGAAACAAAAAAGATGAACTACCTAAACTTCAAGTTGGATTTATTGATTTTGTTTGTACTTTTGTATACAAGGTAAGAAACAAATTGAATGAACTATGTAATCATTTAGGTGAGATCTTGCCTTATTCTGGGATCTGATCAAATGAGCTATTTCTTTCAAACTATAACCAGAGTGAGCCAGATGTGGTGGTGAATACCTATAATCCTAGCTCTTGGGATTACTGGAGGCAGGAGAGTCCTGAGTTAAGGCCAGCCTAGGCTATATAGTGAAACTCTATCTCAAAATAAACTGTAACCAGAATTTTTAAAAAGTCACCCACAGGGAAAGCCATTAGGGATGACTGTTTCTGCACATTAGCTTGAAGTTTGACCCTAATTTCACTCAGGGTGGAATAGAAGGTTTGAGAACTTAGGGTGTGAGCCTTGTACAGACCTACTTAGGCAGGCAGCAAAGACCACCTGTCCTCCCCAAGCTTCTAAGGCACTGGGTTAGGTTCATCCCAGCAGCTCTGAGCATTGCACACCTTACAGCAACTTTTCTGCCTGTGAAAAATCCTGAGAATCAGTTCTATGCTTTCATTAGTTTCTGATCTAAAATTCTCTCCAGGAGTTCTCACGGTTTCACAAAGAAATCACACCTATGCTGAATGGCCTTCAGAATAACAGAGTGGAATGGAAATCCCTGGCTGATGAGCAGGAGGCAAAGATGAAGGTAACTGAAGAGGAGGTGAAAAAGCAGGAAGAAGGAAACATGATTGGAAAAGGTTAGATGGGATCTGCGTTAGCTCCCTGTGACGTGTCCCCAAGTCAGGCTGAGCTGGATGACATGTGACAAAAGCATAAAAAGTAAATGCAAATAGGAAACCTGCTTTGCTGATGTAGGTTGATGACTGAAAAAACTGATTGGTAGTTTTCAGGACTGTTTCTCCCCCAGGCAAGATCTATGTATAACTCTAGACAGAGTTGGCCAATCCTATCAAAGTAGAGGTTGAAGCTAGGTGTCTTCATCCCTTTACAAGGTGATTTCCTGAGGCACCTCTGCAGAACACTGGGCTTTTAGGAATAATATGAAAGAGCCATGGAATCTGTGGGGTCAGGGACAGGTGAAAGTATAGCTTTAGCTTGACATTCCACATTAGCTATCAAACTCTGAACAATTTGCTTAAACTCTTAGCTTAACAGTCTTCTCTGTATGTTTTGCCAATCCCCAATTTAAGGGAATCTTATCTATGAAGTAAAGCTGGCCAGCTATGTGGAATGACTTGAAGGATACTCTAAGACTTTGCTTGTCCCTCAAATGTCTCCACATAGTGCTATTTTTCCTGGTTGGAAATTTCTGTTCCTAAAGTCACTCATCAGGTGTAACATTGTTTTTAGAAAGCCTGTTAAAATGCTTAGGATTTTAACTATGATTGTCCATCAAATAACTAAAATGTCATCTAGAAAGTGGAATGCTAACTTTAGTTGTGACAATTTAGCACTCTGAAGGTTTTCTAAGAAATTCCTATTGACATCTGTGTGAAAAGGCCTTAAAAGAAGATTCATTTCACTGGGCTTGGTGGCTCATGACTGTACTCCTAGCTACTCAGGAGGCAGAGATCAGGAGGATCCGGGTTCTAAGCCAGCCTAGGCAAATAGTTCGTGAGAAAAAAACCTGTCTCAAAAAAAAAACCTATCACACACAAAAAAAGGCTGGTGGAGTGGCTCGTAGTGCAGCCCTAAATTCAAGCCCTGTCACCACAAATAAATAAATAAGTAAATAAATTTTAAAAGACAGTACATTCCCTTTCGATTGGTTCTATTGTGTTTGGTGGCATTTCAATAAATTCATAAAGGGCAAGAGTATGCACCTTAACAAAGTTAGAACGTCCTTTAGAACAGAACCAGTAATTTCTGACTCTCTAAACCCATTACTAATTTATTCACTGGGTCTGTTCTGTACAAGACTGTGTGTTGGACAGGCCTCATCTAGAGGAAGAGCTAGGCAGTAAGCAATCAAAGCATAATTGATGATCCAACTGTGAGCCACAGGGAAAGCATGAGTGTGTACCTGGACCACAGGAAGGAGACTGTGCTAAAGTCTCAAGTCAGTAAGCCTTGGCCCATACAGAAAGGGTAGGGGTGGGGAAGGAAGTGGGAAAACAGAATATGCAAAAATGATGTTGAGATGGGAATAAGCTTGCTGTAATTAAAGAATTTAAAAATGGGTCCAGAGAGCAAGGAATCCCAAGTACCAGATGGAGCTGGCAGTGCAGGCAGCAGCCAGACAGTGCACGGCCTGAGGTCTAGCTAAGGATTTCCATCTTCTAGTCAGTAGAGGACTTCAGTAAAGAAAGTCCTCCTGACTTGCACTACAAAAAGATAAGAGAAGTGATTTCTACTGAGCATGTGAAAAGCAATGGTATTTTTCCTTTGTTCCAATTTATGTTAAAGAGACCATCAGGTCCTTTAACTAGCTCCTGATATTTTATTACACAGTACACGAACATAAGTCTTCTATACCTTATTTGTGTAAAAATTTACTTCCAAATTTTGCCAAAATTCTTCTGGACTAAGAGCACTATTTTGTGTCCCCAGGCATCAATTTTTGTGCATCCAGCTCAGATTTCCAGACTGCATAGTATCAGTGAGAAACAGACATTAGTTGGCTAACCACTTGCCAGATATTTTTTTTCAGGTATTATTTTTAAATGAACCAACTGTGAACAAAAATTTCCCTTAGTACTTGCTATAGGTTAATATTACTAATTAGGCTACAAAGTTGACACCACATATCATGCAAGTATTAAAGTAAAAACACTGTATTTATGCTGGTTCCTAATAACATTGCTTTTCTGTTTTTTAACAGCTGCTGAAGATTTAGGAGGTGGTAGTGATGACAAAAAGTCCAAAACATGTTTAATGTTGTAATATAATCCAACTGGTCCACACTTCAAATATTGTCTTAGTTTCTAAGAAAAACAGAAAACACTCAGAAGAACTTCAGGAAACCTCATTCAGCAACCCAAATCAAGTAACAGAACAAAAGGTTCTTCAGAGAGACTATCCTGTGACTATCAAGAGAATAAATATTGCTAGCCTGAAACCACTAAAGGTAAAATAAAGTTCAAGAAAAGTGCAAAATAGGACAAAATAGGTGTATTTTTGGTGCTAATTTATTTTAAATTGAAAAATATGCAATCCTGAAACTAGTCAGGAGTTTTTAAAAAGTTATTATTGGTATTTATTTGCTAAGGTTGCCATAACAAATACCAAGGACTGGGTGGCTTAAACAACCTATTTATTTTTACAATTCTGGAGGCTAGGACCCAGGGGTTCAAGATCAAGGTGTTGGCAGGGCTGGTTTCCGGTAAGGCCTCTTGACTTGTTTTGTCGATGGCCTGACTTCATGTGGACCTTCCCTATCTTCAAGTGGTTGTTCCTCTGTGTCTGTGTCTAGTAAGTGCTACTGGATTGGATCTACTCATATGACCTCATTTTAATCTTAATTACCTCATTAATGGCTCTATCTTCAATATGTTGTACTAGGGATCAGGACTTCAACATATGATTGGCAGGTGGGAGGTGGGGGATTCAGCCTGTAACATTCAAAATTGTGATTCATACCTAAAATCACTTACTAAACTAAGAATTTCTCATCAATATGTCTTAATATAAAAGTAAATACAGTATAGAATAACATATGAAAATACAGTACAGATAACAAAGAAAAATGGATATGTATTACTACCTGAGATACTTATCTTCTCTTTCCTCTACCTTTTTATCCTTGAAAAAGGCATGAAGACCACACTACTTTTGGCAGTTTATAAAAACTGTTTTTGTTCTATGCCTCTCTCACTTCAAAGTCTAAAATCAATTATTTTATGTGTAACTAAGAATATGTTTAACATTCAGAACTATCTTCTCATTGAAAGAACTATCAATTTATAAGACAGTACCTGAATAATCCAAACACAAGTTAAATCACCTAATAAAGATTCAGCATTAAGAAGCATGTGATTTAAGCTAGATGTGTTGGCATATGTCTATAATCCCAGGTGGAGGCAGGAGGATCTTGAGCTCAAGGCCAGCCTATGCTACAAAGTGAGACCCTGTCTCAACCCCATCCCCCAAAAGAAGCATGTGATCTGATTATACAAGAACTTCATCATCAAAACAGTCTAGAAAAATTTCAATTGAGATTACTTTATAAAATGATTAACAGCACTATTTACCAGGCATTCTAAATATTAAACTGTCAAGAGAAACTAATCAACTACTTCCATTACATGGCCTACATTTGTCTACGTATCACAGAAATTTAAGATGTCTTCTCTTATTAATCTATAATCGAAGATGAAGTTAGAAAACAGAATAATAAACACCATATATTTTGTCATAGTTTTTTGTCAAACAGATCAAAATTATAATAAACTGAAGATTTATGTACCTTCAGTATGCCTTGTTATACAAAAGATAAAGTTCAGTTTTAAGCAGCCAAGAAATAAATCACCATTTATTTTCCTTTTAAAGTTAGGCACTTTGTTTCTCACATTAGAATGTAAAAGTCATGAGAAGGGTGTTTTGTCTGTTTTTCTCACAGCTCTATCTTGGCACCTGGAATAGTGCCTGGCACAAGGTACTCAATAAATATAAATGAATGATATTTTAAATAAATGTTATGAAAAACAGGTATAAATAAGGAATGACTTACCTTGGTAAGTGACACATGCACTCCTTATTTTCATTACTTAAAATAATTTTGAGACTTTACTTCTAGGATCACTATTACTTTAGAAACCACATAAGAAACTATTCCTTCAGCTTTATGTAGTTTTTGAACCCAAAATATCAGTCAGCTGAAACAATTTCCCCTCCTCAGTCACTAGAAATTGAATTGAGAGTACTGATATGCTTATTGACTGTATGCCAAATATATGAACTTCACTTCAGAGTCAGGGTAAGAAAACACAACCTCACATCCCTCTGGATCAAGGATCTGCTGTCCATTACTGACTGCACTGAGCTGAAGTGTGAGGTAGGTATCTAGGTAAATGTTTAAACTCATCACTTCAGTGGCCTTTTCAAAGACTCCTTAAAAATATGACTCCTGCTGGGCACAGTGGCTCATGACTATAATTTCAGCTACTTGGGAGGTAGAGAATAGGACTGTGGTTTGAGGCTAGTCCTGGCAAAAGGCAGCAAGACCCCAACTCAACCAATAAGCTGGGCACAGTGGTATGTGCCTTTCATCACAACTCTACATGGAAGATATAAGTAGGAGGATTGTGATCCAGACTGACTTGGGTAAAATCATGAGACCCTATTCAGAAAGTAACCAGAGCAAAAAGGGCGGGGGAGTTGGCTCAAGTCGTAGAGTGCTTAGCAAGCATGAGACCCTGAGTTCAAACCCCAGTACTGTCAAAAAAAATAGATTCCCATTATTTGCTATTGTGTTGAATGGATTACGTGTTGTGGTTTTATATCATGATCTAAATTTATAAATGAACATGATGTCATAAACCACATTTGCATTACCAATCAATATATGAATCTATTTTAAAAGGGTGTGTAGATATTTTTCTCAGTTACCATTTAATTTTTCAGAAAGTTTATTTTCTGATGACCACTAAGCTATGAATATATTTTTATAAGAATACTTAACTATATATATTCCACTACTAATATCAATTTTGTATCAATTTTGCTATTGGACATTTCAAACACTTATCCTCAGAAATCAAGATTCCTTTTTACTCACTATAAGGAGTGAGATGAAAAAAATACCTTCAAGATAGGAGGGGACTTTGACATAATGTTTAACATTAATAAACCTAATTAATTTACTGCTTTCTGACAGAAGCTCAGAAATGACTGCACAATTATTTTCTAGATAGTTCTTTTATGACAATGCCCAGTGCAGTGCCTCCTACATAACAGAAGCCTAGAAAATACTTGCAGACTTAGTGAATAATGATTGTTTAATAAAAGGAAAAATTCAATACTAGCAATTTTAAAGACACTAATTGCTTATTGTGCAGTTTAATGCAAATCATTTCATGTTCAAGTGTCACTTAAAATAGTATATCATATACTAAGGAACTATTGGTGAAACAGAGTTGTTGAAAAGCAACTGAAGATATAGAAGGAACAGGGAAAAGTGTCTCTAACACAACTAATGAGCTTCCCAAGCATGTGTCTTTCCTGAGAGTGGCTGAATGTTTATTACCAAAGACAAACCAATCAAGATGGCAGATAAACGTTCATGAAGATTGTAGATAAGCTTCCGTGAAGTTTCAAAGTGTACTTTCATATTCAGAAATACAGGCTTTCTCTCTCTCATTTCACAGAAACAAATCGTGAAAATACTCATCAAATTCTTCTTCCCTATTTAAAAGAATAATATATATATTGATTAAAATCAATAATTACAATAAAAAGTTATTAGGTAAGACATTATATGAGATTAATAAAGATATTTTAACATATTGGATGATTCTTCTATAAATCTATGCATTTCCATGATTCAACCATTAAATAATTATTAGTTTTTGAATTCTTAGATTCAGCCATCAAATAATTCTAAGAATTATAATATCTATAATCACATATCATATCTATACTCGGATTGATTAAAATGAAAATATTTCACATGCTGGCACCTTTCCCAAAATATATTACCTAAGATTTTGCTTTTAAGTACTTTGTAAAATGTAACTGCTCTCTTAACCTTTTTTGATTTGTTTTATACCTCTCTTTTCTTTCTTTTTTCAAACTACAGTCTGCTTATGAAATGAATGGAAAAGAAACTATTTTTGAGGAAAAATAAGTCTTACTCCCAAGAATATGGGAAAATCTGATTAGTTTGCAGTATTTTATTATTCTGAGAATAGTAAAAATATTATGTACCAGTATCTATTAAAAAGTTTTATCTAAAATGAAGATAGAACTCTGAAATGTTAAGTTAGATTATAATATATTCAAAATACTACGACAGGTATAAAGTATTAAATAAATGTTAGTGCTAGAAGTCAGCATGAGATAGGAGAAATAGCACAGGCTTTTAAATCAGACAGTAACCCTAGTTCTGTCACGTATTAGCTGTGTGAGCAAGTTACTTCTCTAAACTTAGTTTCCCTATATGTAAATAAAAACAATTTACATGCCTTCATAAAGTTGTGAGGATTAAATGAATACAGTTTTTTTTTCTTCTGGGAATTGGGAATCAAGACGGGTAATAAAAAATTAGACAGCCTACCAATCTCTTTAGAAAATGTTCTTTTAGGTCAGATACAATAGGACTTCTATCATTTGGTTTTAAATAATTGAGACTATATAAAACCATCACAACTATGTTCAAATTTAAATTAAAAATTTACAGAATTAAATACAATTAATTAAGGAATTATCTGCACTTTGGTATTTGTCATATGCTACCTTTTCACTAGCATGACAACAAAAATGCACTAGGATTTTAAAAATATATTAAGGACTTACATATACAAAATTGGTGGGATATCTATGCGAACTTAGATGCTTAGCACCTAATAATGTCAAAAGTGTTAGATACAACAGGATTTTTTTGTGTGTGTGGTGCTGGGGGTTCAACCGGGACCTTGCTCATACTAGTCAAGTTCTCTACCACTAAGCCACACCTCAACCCACATGCGTCTTAATTACCTACACAGGTGAGCTGAGTCTATGTCCTCTCCTGTCATTCTTAGATATAAAGCTCTTCAAAGACAGGTTCTCAATAAATGGTTGGAAGTTTAGTTAATAGTTTATATTGGCCAGGAATATTTTATAAAAGTAATGGCTTTTAAAATAATCTGATCTATAATAACTGTATTTTGAGAATTCTTGTTGACCGAAAAAAAAAACAGTAAGGTCACAGAAAAAGAGAAAAAGTAATCTTGCTTTAAAAAGCCTCTTTCTGGTCTGGGATGTAGATCAGTGGTACAGTGCTCACCAAGCATTCTCTAGGCCCTGGGTTTAATCCCAGCACCAAAAAAAACCCCAACAAAAACATAAAATAAAAATTATCTTCCTAACATACATGAATTTTGTCATAGTGAGAACATGCATAATTTGCAAAATGTATTACAATCAGTTTAATGAATTATAATCATTCAACAGGTCTCTTTCTCTTATGAACAACTCTGGCTAGGGACTGATAAAATGGAACTACAACTTAATGAGCATTCATTGTATTTATCTGTAGGCATAGTACCATGTACTTTGCCTTTTTTTTTTACTTAGCCTTCACAACAAACTCTATGTGGTAGTGATTTTATCCATTTTTAACAGATAAAGTTCAAGTGGTAAACGTCCCAGCTGGTAACATTCCAGCCCATACCCAGTGTTTCTTCTTCCAACCTGCAGCAGAGAACAAGGGTACTGATTTATTTGTCTGGGTGTTTGCAAGGAAACGTCCCCATGTGTATAAATCTTCAAGGGGCTTCTCAGTATGGGGTTATTATAATCTCAATATCATGGAACACACTGACCTGGAAGTTAGTAAACAGCCCCTCTGAAGGAATCCAAGCAAGGTCCAGAGAGTCATCTGTTAAAGTGAACTGATGAAAGTTCATTCACCAGGAGGAACCTGAACACATTGGCTGAGTGTGGTTACAAACAATGGCTGGTAATAAATTCTCATCTTACCAAGATAGATAGTCCTTAGCATTAAATATTCATGATACTGAATTTTTTCATTAATAGTTATAAAGAATGCCTGTGGTCATAGCTTCCTACATGGATTAAAAAGGAATGTATTACCTATTAACATTAGCACTTACTGTGATTTTTCATCTGTCCCTGGTAGTGGACCCTTCCAAAGCTCAGATTCTGAAGCACTTTCTTCCTCATCAGCATTTCCTATACATTTTTAAAAAATTAAATGTATTATATTTAAAACACATTTTGAACCATTCACCCCACAACCTGAATTTAACTGCACTATAGCTTCAACTTTTATGACCCTCTGGAAATTTAATTTATTCTTCCAGATACAATAAAAAAACCAATAATGAGAAATGCCCAAGTCCCAACAAAAATGCCTCATGAAAAACTTCTCTAAGTTACACTAAGTAGAAGCAGCAACTGATTTAGTTTCTTCTTTTTCTTATTCATGAAAAGACATGCAAGTTAAGATTTTTATAGAAAACATATTTATATTAGGACCCCTGCCTCGAGAACCATTTAAATTGATTTATTATTGGAGAGGGATTATTTACTAACATAATTACCTCATGGAACAGTTTTATTTCCTAACATTATTCAGTATTTAATACTTTTTAGTTGACTATTCTATGATGATTCATTTGAAACATGTCTATTTTGTTATAGTTTTAAAATGGAATTATCTTTATTATTTTTACTGATTTTAAAGGTAATACATACTCATTGTCTAAAATGTAAGCATTCTGGATATGTTTAAAGTAGAAAGTAAAAGTATCCTAGGTTCATGGGTAACATAATCATTGTTTAGGCTTGGCTGGCTCTTACAAACTTATAATACATGTATGTATATAACACATATAATGCCTTTTAACATAATTAATATTGGAATTGGTACTTTAACTCAAATTTGTCTGTCAATGAAGAATGTCCCTTAGTTCAGCCAACACAAAAAATAAAACAACATTGATTTGCCACGGTGGTTCTAGCCTTTCACCCATTGGACTTTGATCTCTAAATCAATGCGTATGTCTGAACTTTAGTCCTAACTGAATCTGTTGTGGCACAAATTTTAACAAAAATAGCAAGGGGGGATGTCAATGTCTAATAATCTACATACAAATGTTGATAAAATTATAGTCAGGAAGAAGATTTCTGCTAAATGACAGCCACCACAAGAACTAGATGCGTAAAATTCTCAATTCTTTTTTTTTTTTTAATGGAAACTCACTAAGATAAAGCACAGAAAAACCAAGTATGCCTAGTATAGTTATCTCTGTTAAGATGTCAGAGAACAAAACCTACATGGCCTTTAAAAGTGGGAAGCTAATTTCAAAAAATATGCTCCCTGTTTCCTTTCTAAGAGTACTTCCCATATGTCTGCTTTCCTAAACTAATTTTTTGGTATCAGACAATCCAATCGTACTAAAAAACCAAATCAATTTAAAACATTAAAAAAAAACTTCCTTTGAAAGAGTATCCACTGAAAATGCGGTCAAATAGCCTTAGAGAATCAAGTGTACAAGAGTAGACTAAATGACATTTAAGGTCCCTTATAACTGTAAATCTAAAATATCCTAGTTCCCTGAGGAAGACAATCACTGCAATTCATTGATGTAACTGCTACAACCTGCAAAGGTAGGTGGGGTGTTGCTAAGGAAATGAGAACAGTTAATACAAAATGATGCTCTTAACAGTTATCACTGTCAAATCTCTGCAATAATTATTGGCAAGAGGGGATCAGAACTTAAGTCACTGATTCTCTGAGTTGGAAGGGGACCTTGAAGGTCTTTCAATCAAACCTTTATCCAAACAATTCATCCCTCATTGCAACATCTACAATAACATGTTGCCATCTATCTGTGCTACTTCCTGAGGCAACCCATTTTTTCCATTCCTAATCTCAAACAGTTCTTAATGCCAAATTTTTTCATAAAACGAGGCAGAAATGTGTTTTTAGGCAATTTTTATCCTAGGCTATAGTCTGCCAAACAGTCACCAAAAATAAGTTTCATACATAGTAATAGCCTCCAAATATCTACAGTTTCCATGTCCACCTCCTTCCCTCCTCTCTCATCCCTTTACTTTTCACCAAGCTAAAATCTGCAGTTCCACCAACATAATTCCTGCTGTTCCAATGACACAATTTCAAGTTCTCGCAACACTTTGGTTGTTCCATTCCTAACCTGCTTCAAGTCTTCAATATTCTCCTTAAAGTATGGTGCTAAACTGCACACAATTTTCCTAAATGCTCTGAATAATGAAAGCAGGTCTATCATCTTCATTTGTATGGATATCACATGATACTTAAGAACTCACTCTAATGAAGAAATGGCAAAGTCTCCAATAATCATGATAACAAATGGACAGGTTAGATTTTTACAGATTTTACTTTTGATCTAGTCAATTCTAGAAAACAAACACAGAATCTGTTTAATGTCTGGTATTTTTTTTCACTGACATAATAACAATAATAGCTATAGGTTATCAAGGACTTCCTTTGTGTCAGGAACATACTTTACATGTATGTTTTCTCACTTGATTCTGATAATAATCCAACAAAGTAGGCCTCTTTAGTGTTGGGTTTTTTTTTGAGATAGGGTCTCTCAATCTATTTCCCCATGGCTGGCTTTAAACCTCAATCCTCCTGACCGCTGCCTCCTAAGTAGCTAGGATTACAGGTGTCAGCCACCAGCACTTGGCTACATAAATTATTTTTTTAAAGAGCCTTCTGTATCACAGTAAAAACAACAGAAACAAACAAATGGATGTCCCCTTTTATAAGCCCATAGGTGATTCTTATCTCAAAACTGCCAGGAAAGATTTAACACTGAGTTTTATTATTTTATGGTACTATTAATCATTCTACTGGTGGTTTCACTATTTGACCATTGGGAAAAATGGTAGCAAATCTGTGATCTTCCTTTGCATTATGTAAAACTTTTTGGTATGCATTTGTCTGTATCAATTCTGCCTCTTGCTTTATATTACTATTCTATCTTATTTTTCCATTACTCTAATTTAAAAAAAAATGTAAGTCATTGTGAATACTTTTTGGAATGTTACAGAGAAAATATAGAATTTGCAGCAAACAGTGAAATTACACTTCATGTAATCAATCAAAAACAAATGATTACTCAGATTCACACAATGTAAGAATCTTCCTTGAAGCTTAACCTCCACCCATACTTTTTCCATTCTAGTCTCACTCTTCTATTTCTCTTCTGTCACATTTTATAATGTAAAAGTGAAATGCATATCCATTGTATTTATTGAAAATATTTTTAATATTCTTTATACTTAAAATAAGAAACTTTTAACTTTTCTTAATTGGGGAATAAACATTCACTTTTGTTCCTCTATAATTTTTCTCATATAGTACAAAAACAGAATAATTCATATCAGGGCAAGATATAATTCACGAAAAACCTAAATTACAAATACTCTGAATCTATATATTTCTACTTAATAAAGAAAGGCTTGATACTTAACTAGTTACAGAATCTTCTGATTTCTTTAAGGACGAATGCCCTGAAAAAGAAACAGCATTGTTTTATTAAGTATCCTCTTGGGGTGATATGACAGTTGCAGCTACAGTCATAACTCTTTCCAAGTCTGGTTTTCTCTCACACCTATGGGTAAGGCTAAAGAAGAACTGTGGGCAAAGAAGCTGAGGAAAACCCAAAAAGTAAGAAATAAATCCAAGACAGTAAGTTGATTTGAAGTATGTCAGTAGTTCAAATGCAGCAGTGATGGTAAGCATTTATTAATTATTATGAGCCAAATTAAGGTGATCTGGCTAAAGTGGAGATGAACTCTTTTTTAATTTGGAATATGTAGTGATTAATATGGTATTATGGTTATGATATGAATGTATAAATGCAACAATATTATTAAATGCAAATAAAAATTCAAAACTCAAGTGACATTTTCACATTCATTAGTTAAATTTTACTTTAGGGTTGGGAAATGATTAAGAGAGACAAACAGGCATTGTTTCAAATACCAACTCTCAATAAACAAGAGAATAACAGTATCTTCTATCTATTAATTTTATCAAGTCTAAAACTTTGTGATAATATATATTTGAGTATTTTAAATCCACTAACATAATGAATATATCATGATACACAAGAAAAAAAATGCATGTAAAAATGCAACTCAGCTAATTATATTCGTAGCTGGAGCAAGGGAGCCCTCTCCTGTCCAAATATATGTTAACAATATATCTAATTTGATTTAGCATTCTCACTCACTGTTACAGCCAATTTGATTCTACCTTATTATGGGTTGAATAAGCTACTAGAAACAACATTCATAGTAGCTAATTATGTGCCAGTGCTATGCAAACTGCTTAATGAATTATCTCATTTCAACTTCTGCATAATCCTATGAGGTGGGTACTATCATTATGTCTTTTACACATGAAGAAACAGGCTTAGAGAACTTAAGAACTGCTAAGGAAACGTAAGTAGTTGAATTTGATATTTGTTAAGTATATTTGCACAGCACCCTGTAGGTTCTGAGGACATAGAGTTAGTGAGAAAAATCACACAGATCATTATAATAAAAATCATAGCATTAAAATTTTATGCTGAATTATAGACTGTAAAAACAAAGTATCTTCACACTCTTATTTGATTCTCTTCAATGAGCTAGTATGAAGGTAGGTATTCACGTTACCCCAACATACACAGGAAAAGTAAACAAATTCAGTCTCTTTCCCAAGGTAACAAGTCTTGAATAAATCAGGAATTACAATGCTATTTGCAATATTATTCAGTATTATAGTACCTGCCAAAAATGAATCAAAACCAACCCTTGTTCTTAAAACTCCTGCAAATCTCTATAAATTCATATCAAAATTCTCAACCAGTTTCCATTCAACTATAAAGCAAAAATTTTAAATGCATTCACCAATTAAATTCCGTATTTGAGATATGGCAGGTTATATTTTATGTTTCTTTTACCTTTATCTTTTTTCTTGGAGGCCTCTTCTGTAGAAGACAATCTAGATTTTTTATATGATGACTCTTCACAATCTTTTTTAGCCTTTCTTTTTTTTGACTTTATTTCTTTTCTCCTTTATTTTAAACAATATGAAATTAAAGTTAACTTTTTCAAATGACCTTACAAAAATAAAAACCAATGAGCAAAAAAAAAAAAAAAATCAAATCAGTCTAAAGTACTTATTTTTAAATGTAATTTATACAATAAGGAACCTTAAATGACTATGTACATATTTTAGGTGAATATATTAAGACAATTCTGTTAAGATAATGAAGCCTAAACACTCTGAGACAAAGAATTTCCTCTCTATATTTTATCCTTTATCCATTTAAAAGAGAATTACAAAAATAAATTTCAATCCCTCCACTGAAAAAACAGAAGCAGGAAGAAAACTGATGTAACAGCTCAAAACCACTACTAAACAGAAAATTCTCTTCTTAAGAATAAAGGAATATAATAAGGAAGAAGAGGCTTGTTATCAACTTATATGTCAACTTTAGACAATTTATAATTTATCCTCTTATTACTGTGGCTTTATCTCTTTATCTCAAGCTTCTCAGTACCATGCTTGGCAAGAAGTTGAACAATATACTTGCTTAAGAAAAAAAAAATACTAAGAAATACTAAGGAGGCCAAGGTGATACCAGCAAAGAGGACAGAGAGACAAAAGAGGAGTTTAAAAAAACTTATTTAACAGAACTTCCAAATTAAGGTACCTATACCAAACGCTGTAATACAATTATTTATAGCAGTAACTGTATTTGCTCTTTTACCACAATCATTTCAATCTTGAAACGAAACTCAAAATTCAAGGTCAAAAACATCCCCTAGTTTCTTAGTGTCAATGTTGGCAAGGGGAAATAAAGGTTTAGGCTACTGGGATAATCTAAAAAGTCCTACTAATTTTAAGAATTAAGAATTTATTATTTAACATTTATTTTCATAGTTAAAACACTAGATAGGCAATTTATAACAAAGCTGATTGTAAAATTAATATTCTTATGAACACATTTTATAGAGCTATAGATTCTCACTGTTAAGACTTTCGACTGTTATTCAGGACATGAAACCTGAGCACTACAATGGCAAGTTACACAGATTTTTGTCTGACAACCTCAATGTTAAGACCTGTACTCGATTTACCATATGCCATATGGCAACACTTTATGTGAATTTCATTTTCATTATTCCCTCAGTATCTCCATTTTTACAGATGATAAAATTGAGTCTTACCAAGGCTTAAGCAGCTTTTCTAAGAAGCCTAGTAAGTCTAGGAGCTGAGAGCAATACTCTGGTCTGATTAAAAGCTAGTGATTTCAATGTCAGGCAATACAGCAGTTACATTCAAGTTCATATGGGCCCAATGTTAGCACTTGCAATGAGTACAAATCCGCTGCAACAAAGACAAACTCCCAACTTCATTTAAATGAATCACAAGATCTACTTTATGAAATCTGCTTCACAACACAGTTTCTAATACTATGGTGCCTGGACATCTGCTCCAAACTAAAAATTCTAAGATCCATCTACCACCCACAGAGCCCTTCACACGTAAAATTGCTTGGCTAAAACAGGGAACAGTGAACTTCCAAATCCCCTGCTTTATGTGGTAATAGAATAATGCCTGATTTTCTATGCAATCAACCAATTCAGCCATCAACTACCCAAGTCTACATTTGGACACTCACTGTAGGTAAATGACTAAGGATAAGATTACTAACCACTAAAGATTAATTATACAAAATAATGGGTTTCATAATGACATTTTCATACACACATAAAAAATGGCACTTTAGAAGACAGTATTACCTGTGATGAAAATTTAATTTAAGGGAACATTCTTGGCATAACCCTAAAAAAACAAACAGACCATTGAATTGCTGAATTGGATAACTATACTGTTACTCTACTCTAAATTCTCTTATTTTTTTAATATAAAGGGGAAACAAATAACCTGAAGAATCTAATCATCACTTCAAAAAATACACATATACCTATATAATAAAAATGATGTCAAAATTCTTAAAGAATAGAAATATTTTAACATTACTTTTAATAAATTGTCAGTTGTGTTCCATAGGCAGCATTAATGTTAAGACATCAAAGATATTTAGTAATAATATACAATAATATAATTAAATAATACGTGCATAATAAGTTGGGTATAGTCATTTCCTCTTAAGTGCTCTAAGAACTTTCAAATGGAAAAAACCTTTTCAAATAGTTCCCTGTGGCTTCTTCTTTTGCCTTAATCTCAGTCTACATTGACTCACTTTTCCTGACAAACTCTTCCAGGAGGAACTCAAAAATCAGTGTATCAATGGCATATGGGTAAACTGGTGACTTCTATCAGGAATGGGTAGAAAACTCTGAAGGCATATTTACTTAGGACCAAGAAAGCTGAAGGCTATTAACACGACGGGGGAGAGAAGCAGCTGACGCATGAAGACTAACTTAAGAAATTAATAGTCAAATGACAGATTCTAAACCATGCATATTATAGGACACTGCTGTCTTTTAGAGTATATCCCTAAACTTTTAACACTGATATCAAGAACAATAATGCATTTCTAAAATTTTTCTCTATGACTGTCAAAAAGAGAAAATTAATTTATTATCCATGCCACAACATTATGGCTATATAATCAGACAACGTAAGATTTTACATTGCCTTTTCTCATACTCTGCTTCTTAGATATGTAACTCCAGCTTACATTTGACATTAGAACTGTTTATATTGAAATGTCAATACACTGTTAATATAAAAATTTTAGGTTCAAAAGTTCTTTGAGATCTTACGAAGCTTGGAGAGCTTCCTAAAAATACTTCCAGGTATGTTAGTTTTTAAATTATATTTTAAGTGCATATTATAAATTCCAAATTAAAGACATCCTTGAAAGAAATCAAGTCTTACATCCCAAGTCAACTTACTTAATTTAACAAGTGCATTTCTCTTTTCACCATGCTCAATGTAACCAAAATTAACTTCCCAACTCTTCAAGCCTTCTTTTATATCACAACATTTATTACCACAAAAAAATTGACCTGCAAAAAAGGAAAGGCTTATTAGCTATGATAGTTGATAGTATTTATCTATATCACCTAGTATTACCTTTGAAGTTCACTTCTAAGATATGTAAAATCTTATCTATATAAAGTCAACATTAAAAAGTAACTGACCAGGGCTAGAGACTTGACTCAAGTAGTAGAATGCAAATGCAACATGCCCTGAGTTCAAATTCCAGTACAGCAAAAAAATAAAAAAAAAATACCAAAACAACAGCATGTTCCACAAAAGTATAGAGAATTATAAAATCAAAGAGTTGAACTGTTATAAAAAAAAAAATCAGCCACAAAATAAAATTTTAGTGACTTCCAATTTGGGAATCTTACACTTTGGAAAGTGAGAATATTGAATGTACTCACTAAACCCTGAAAGAAGAAATGCATACTTTCATACCTGGGTGAATCCTTTCAATATTTAATTATAGTATTAAAATGAACATTTTAAGTATTAACATAATAGCATCTATTTACAGTTCTAGCATAAATGGGTATCAAGAACACATTTTAAAATTTTACAATTTGAGGTGAAGTAACCAAATCTGATAACCTTAATTTTAGAACCACCTGTTGCTAGTATTAACACCCCATCACCATGTTCACCATACATTAAAGTCTCAAAAACAGGACTAGGACTGATGATCCACAAGGATAATGAAAAAGAAAAAAAGAAATCATCAACAATTACTTACTTTGGTAGGAAAAGACAAAAATCAAACTTTTATCAATATACACACAAAAAAATTTGTATCAAAGTAATTTAAACAAAAAGGAACAAATCTGAAATCAGCAAATCCTTTTCATAAAAAGGTAAGAAACTACCAAAATGAATTTAGAACATTGTCATTCAAAAGGCCAATCAGTAAATCAGTCTTAACTCACTCTAAATGAATACTTTATAATCTGCATATGTTTAGTAATGGCTGTTAAATAGCAAAACAAAAATTGTAACTTAAGATAATCACAACAGCAGCTAGCTCTTCCCTTTCCAATTAGTTTTATATTCTCTTATATGAATTTAGAAATGTTCACAATTTTTAAAAGGTAGCATTATGAACTAGCCTGAAAATCTCATTTGGATAGAAGCACAAAAATTTTAAATTATGATAGACATTTCAAGATCTCTCATTATTTTAAGTAAAAACAAAAACTAAAATGTAACCCTAAGAGAAGTTAAAAATATCTTTAAAGGCATTCTTCTTCCTTTTGTAAGTGCTGTCAGGGATGATCCTTCATTATTTATAGAAAAAAATCCCTACTGTTTAATTTTGTTTTACTGCGTATCTTTTCACAGCTGACACAGCATATTTAATTCATGGAGATGCTGATAGCATAAATGTTTAATCATTTAAAATGTAAACTTTGTTTCAGTTTTAGAAGACTTTCAAAGTTTAAAATTATTTCCTAAATGTCAGCATATAGTTTTCAAAAATATTAACACTTAAAATGTAATTACTCTATAAAGAGCTAATTTTATAGTATAATACCATATAGAGATGTACAATTTTCAGAACAACTTAATAGATTACAATGATGCACAGAAAAAGCACTAATTGCCAACTACATATTTAGTCTAATAAGCTATTAGACTAAATATTATCCAATGACTTCAATTCACTATCCATACAAAAATAAGCTGTATCCTATTAAGAAGTAAATGTTTAAGAAAGAATTACCTTTTCCTGAAATTACTTCTTTTTCTACTCGCCACCTAAATCCAAACTAGGAAAAAATTAATTTATGTTAAAGTAAATTTAAGTATTAACTTTAAATTATATATGAATATAAACATCAAGTCAATAATAATGACATTATCAACCAAAAAATAAACAATTTTCATTATGATAGGTTTCTCTTTTGATAGAATTATAGGTATGCAAAAATACATTTGAATAATTATCAACTTATCTGTTAAGAATAACCTTCTTTACTTTTAAAAGATACTAAAAATTATAGGTGCCAAACTACAATATCCTAAGTTAATAAATCCAGGTATATGCATGATACGACAAGGGAAAAAAGACCTTATGGTGCAGCAAAGGGCAGTATACCAGTGTAGAAAAGGCCAGCCTTTGGATTCAGATTATTTAGGTTTATGTTTTAGCTCCACTACCTTCTAGGCAAGTTACTTAGTGTCTTTGACTCAGTTTTCTCATATGTAGAGATGTAAGAAATTGCTTCTTTGGGTTGAAGAAATCTAAATGAAATAATACATTTAAAGCACTTAGAATAGTAACTAATACATACTAGGTACAGGTTAGTAAACTATGGCACAAAGGTCTGCTTCTTATTTTTATAAATAAAGTTTTATTATAGTACAACCACATCCATTTGTTTATGCATGTCTACCTTCCACTCCATAGCAGTCGGGTTCTGTAGCTATAACAGAGACCATATGGCCAGAAAAGTAAAAAATACTGTCAAAAAAGTCAAAAGTTATTATCTGGTCTTTTATAAAACAGTCTGACAACTTGAGCAAAGTAAATGCTCAACAATACTTATTGTATATTATATTACTATGATCCTTTCTGGTTCACCAGTGAACATAAGCAGATATTTCCCATATATAACAAGAGAGCACAGGGTTTAGCAGTAGCAAAACCATACCAGTTATTGGAAACTTAATGTAAAAAGTCTTTCACTGATACACAATCCACAATTATTCAGGCATATGTCATTGCGAAAGTTTGGCTCAGAAACAGAATAGGAAAGAGGAGTTGGACCAGTCTGGAGCCTTCATCTGTACTACTAAACATTATTTGGTTTTTTGCCAAAAATGATTTGTACTAGCTGTACTGCCTTTTAAGTTAGTTCACATTCATCCACTAATTGGAAGCAAACTGATCATTCTATAAGAGATTCCTTTGATCTGAGCAGGATGGTGATCAAGCCCATGCCCTGAGCATGTGGAAGAATTCTTAACTACTGAGCCAAACTCCAAGGCCAGGGATAAGAAACAGCACTTCAAACCTGTTTGAACATTGATAATACTTCAACATAAAGACTATTAAGTGATTAAAACTTCCAACAACTTGGCCTCCCAACACAGAAACACAAGAAATATGAAAAAGCAAGGTAACATGACCCCTTCAAAAGTCAACAACTCCACACCAGGGGACACTAATGATATCACCATCATTAGACAAAGAACTCAAAAGAGTAACTTATAAGAATGATAGATGAAATTAAAGAAAATATAAATAAATGCCTGAGTGAATTCCAAGAGAATACAAATGAACAGCTTAGTGAAACAAGGAATACAATGCAGGATATCAAAGAAGAATTTAATCCTAAAAAATAAAACAAATTGAAATTCTGGAAATGAAAAGCTTAATAAGTCAAATAAAAAAATCTCAAGTGAAAGCCTCTCAGTAGATTGGATCAAATTGGAGGTAGGTGTATTAGAACATTTGTACAAAGATAAAGGAAAAAATTAAAAAGTACAAAGGTAACATGTAAGACCTCTGGGAAACCACTAAAAGACAAAACCTATAAATCACGGACATAGTAAAAGGGAGAAGAGGTGCAAGCTAGCAGCATCAAAAATATTTGATATAGTAATAGCAGAAAACTCCCAAACCTTGAGAAAGAGATGATCATCCACACACAAATGGCTTTTAGGACTCCAAGCAGACAAGACCAGAAAAGAACCTTTCCACACAGAATAAATAAAACATTAGGTATAAAAAAATAAGCAAAATATGAAAGCTGCAGACAGAAGCACCAAGTTACATATAAACCCGTCAGAATGACAGATTTCAAAAACAGAAACTTTAAAAGCAAAGAGGGCACAGAATGAAGCATTTCAAGTCTTGAAAGAAAATAACTGCCAACCTACATTATTATATCCAATAAAGCTATCCTTTTCAATTGAAGAGGAAATAAAAATCTTCCATGATAAACAAAAACTAAAGGAATTCATGACCACAAAATCAGGACTACAGAAGAAACTTAAAGGAATCCTTCATTCCGAAGATGAAAATAAACACAATCATGAAAATAAGGGGAATAATAAATCTCAGGGGGGTGAGTACATAAGCAAATGATGAAAAGGGAAGAATTAAACACTACAAAAACAACAAAATAGCAGGAATTACTATACACCTTTCAATAATAACTCTAAATGTTAATAGTCTCAATTTTCCAATCAAAAGACAGACTGGGATTGAATTTAAAGAACAAGACACATCCATTTCTTGCCTATGAGAAGCACAACTCACTGGCAAAGATGAACTAGGCTTAAAGTGAAAGGATTTCCAAGCAAATGGAGTCTGAAAGTAAGCAGGAATAGGCTATACTTACACCTGACAAAGCAGACTCCAAACCAAAATCAGTCAAACGAGACAAAGGTCACTTCATATTGAAAAAGCGAACAACCCATCAAGATGATATAACAACTATAACATATACATTGAACATGGATGAATCAAATTTCATAAAACAACATTACAAGACAAAAAAGCAAGAATAGATCCCAAAACTATAATGCTTGGTGACCTTAATACTCCACTTTCACCGAAAGATAAGTCATTAAGGATCAAAAAACCTTCAGAATTAAATGACACTACAGATCAAGTGGATTTAATAGATATCTCTAGAATATTTCACTCATAAGCTACAAAATATAGATTCTTCTCAGCAGCCCACAGAACTTTCTCAAAACAGATCTTAAGACATAAACCTTATAAAATAGAAGAAAACTGAAATAACATCTTGCATTTTATCAGATCAAGCCAAGTCTAAAGGCAGCAGCTGGAAAAAAATGATAAAGATCGGGGCAGAAATTAACAAAATGAAGAACAAAAGAACAATTCAAAGAATCAATGAAACGGAGTTGGTCGCATAAAAAAGATAAACAAGATTGAGAAACCCTTAGCCAAATTAACCAAAAGAAAAAGGGAGAAGACTCAAGTTAACAAAACTAGAGGTGAAAAAGAGGGTATCACAATAAATACAGTGAAATTTTAGAGGCTCCTCAGAGAATACTTCAAAAAGCTATGTTCTGGGGATTCCAAGATGGTGGCTAGAGGGAGGAAGCAGAAAGCGTGCCTCCTAAAGTAAAATCTTGGAGAGACGCTGGAAATACACCTTGGAGGCAAAACCACTGAGAAGAGGCAAAACTTTGACCCCTCCACACCTCCAGCCTGTGCAGAGCATCCCCACTTCACGTTAAATGGAGAAACCAGGAGGGCCCCCTAGCCGCCTCCAGATGCCGGCGCCCAGACACCTTGGGAAGACATGGACCACAAGGTGAGCTAAGCGGTATGTGGTATTCCCACAGACAACCCTGGGCCAGATCAGCATTGCCCCCTGGACAGACCGACCCCCACCCAGGATAAAAAAGAGAAACTGAGTAATAAACAATAAGAACAATAAAGACACATAGCAAAGAGGGTGGGGCACGCTGAGTGCCAAAGAGGGGAGTAGGGGAATCCTTCACAGAACTGTAAATAAACAAGCCAGGCTGGAGAAGGCAGGAGCGGCGGCAAATGCCCAAAAACTAGGAGCGGGAAAGCAGCAGTGGGAGGAAAACTCCACAGGAGAAGGGGGAAGACCCACTTCCCATGTGAACTGTAAATAAACACACAGCCCTGAGAAAGTGGGTGCAGTGTCACCTCCCCCAGAATACTTGGAAAGGGGAAAGCTTGCAGCAGCAGCTGGAGCACAGGGGAACTCTGACTAAACAAAGCCTGCAGGGCCAGGTGAGTGCTAAGCTCACCCCTGAGATCTGCATAAATAAAGCCTCCAGCAACAGCAGGCTGACAGCAGCGGGCAGGCAAGCCACAGCCAAAGATAGCCATTCACAGAACTGTCTCCAGACTCCTTTTTTTTTTTCTCTCTCCCTACCTTTGATGAGACAACAACTGAACTATGCCTGAATGCTGAAAAACTTACTGAAACTGTATTGCATTTGAACTTGGGACACTTTCTGGGGTTTTTTGTTTTGTTTTGTTTTGTGTGGTTTTATTTTATTTTTCCCCTTTGATGACACAAATACAGAACAACATCTGAGGCACCATGTCCAGGATTGGAGGCTGAGGGACGAACACCAAAATTATTAAGACTGAAACTTTATTGCATTTGATCTTGGAAATTTTTTTTCTATATATATTTTTTCATTTATTTATATTTTTTTATTTTTTATTTTCAATGCTCTCTAATGCCTTTTCAGCTTACAGTTGATTAGTACACTGTCTCTCCCTGTTTATAACTTTGAAACTTTGTTTCTTTGTTTTGTTTTTTTCTACTTGTTTGTTTTTTCCCTTTTCCTTTAACTTCTTTGCTTTCCATCGCCTCTCACCCTTCCATTCTAAATATCACTAGTGCTATTATTATAAGACAGAAAATACATAACTGCACACAGTACAAGGACAATAACAACACCAAGGGCAATGATGGGAAGACAGAAAAAACAGGGAAAACAGTTTCCCCACAGCAAAAAATTACTATAGGAACCAGAGGGAAATGAAGAAAACAGATACTCAGACCCAGACTCCAACAAAATGAAGATAAATTATGCCAAAGAACCCAATGAAGCCCACAAGAATAATCTAAAAGAAGAAATACTACAGGTACTAAATGAGAATTTTATAGAGATGATACTGGATATAGTCAACCAAAATGTACAGGAGACACTCAAGAAATTCCAAGACACCAAAAATAGAGAATTTGAAAAAGCAAAAGAAAAAATAAAGGAAACCATAGAAGCACTGTACAAACACCA